GGGCCCTCCTGTATAGAAAAGGTGACACACAAATGCATACTGGATACTGACAAGGAGGCAACAGGAACAGACACGATAGCACCAAAATTCCCAAAGGAATGTGGAGACAACCTAAATTATTCTCTCTAGAACATCCTTGGGATTTCACTAAGAGGAAAAAAACTGGCAGACATATGGAAAAATTGCACATGGTGACAATATTTAAAAGAGGTAATAAGGAGAATCACCTAACCTGCAGACCTGTCTCACTGACAAAGTTTAAAAAAAAAAAAAAGGACATCTATCAAACAGTTCAGTATTCATCAGGAAAATCCTAATTATCATTTTTTTAACCTACTGTGACAGTTACATAATAACTCAAGAAGAAAAAGGATGAGTGGATTATATTTAGATTTTAAGGTTTTCAAAAGAGTTTCTCACAAATGGCTGATCTGGAAACCAGAAAACAGGTGTAAAAAACAAATTATTAAGGAATTTGAGATTGTCTGAATAAAAGGAAAATGTGAACAATGATGTGAAGTAAAGTATCCTCACAAGGTATATGTCATTAGCAGTGTGCCACAAAGATTGCTACTTGCTTTGATGATGTTTTTAACATAATATAACTTGCCTGAAGGAATTAAGAATTCCCTGTAGTATATAATTTTTGTTTTAACACACTGGCTGTCTCCCACCAAGGCAGGGTGACCCAAAAAAGAAAAACACTTTCACCATCATTCACACAATCAATGTCTTTACAGAGGCATGCAGATATGATAGTTCAGATGCTACTCCAAACAGCAAATATCCCAAATGCTTCCTTTAAAGTGCAGGCAATGTACTTCCCACCTCCCAGACTCAAGTCCAGCTAACCGGCTTCCCTGAATTCTTTCACAGAATATTACCCTGTTCACAAACCAAGAGCTTGTCAGGTCCCCAAAAAATTCATCTCCATTCACTGCTATCTAACATGCTCACACATACCTGCTGCATGTTCAGGCCCCTTCCACACAAAACCTCTTTTTACCCCCCTCCCTCCATCCTTTTTTTGGATAACCCCTACCACTCTTCCCCTCCACTATAGATTTATATGTCCTCCAAGTTAACTTATTTGCTCCATCCTCTCTAAATGACTAAACCATCTCAATAACTTCTCTTCAACCCTCTGAATAATACTTGTAGTAGCTCCACACCTCCTCCTAATTTCTACACTATGAATTTTCTGCAAAATATTTACACCACATATTGACCTTAGACACGACATCTCCACTGCTTCCAGCTTCTTTCTCGCTGTAGCATTCACAACCCATGCTTCACACCCATATAAGTGTTGGTACCATTATACTCTCATACATTCCCTTCTTTGCCTCCATAGATAATGTTCTTTGTCTCCACAGATACCTCAATGCACCACTCACCTTTTTTCCTTCATCAATTCTGTGGTTTACCTTGTCCTTCATAAACCCATCTGCTGACAAATCTACTCCTAAATATTCGAACACATTCACTTCTTCCATACTCCCTCCCTCCAATCTAATACCCAATTTATAAAGACCTGGATAGACTAAACAATTGGAGTGTGTTGGGTTATGAAATTTAATGTGAGGAAACCTTATATAGTAGAAATGGACGAAGAGAAAACAGTCCTTATATCTTCCTTCGTTAAACAATTTATATTCTAATGACATCAGTACGAGTAAACTTGGGATTACCACTTGCAAAAAGTTTGCTACCTGAGGATCACACATTAAATAGTAAAAAACTCATAAGGAATACTGTTCAGCTTTAAAAGAGCATTTAGATATAAGGATGGGAAAATGCTAATACAAGCTTTACACCAAAACTGGAATATGCAGTAGTGGTATAGTATTTACAGCTTAAAAAGCACACAATAAGCTAGTAGTAGTCATAAAATGAGCTTAAAATGACTCCCCATTTAAAAGAAAGTAACAAAGAAAGGCTAAAAGAAGTGGATATGTCATCTTCGGTTGACAGAGGGAAAAGAGGAGCCATAATAAGATAATGTAATTCTTACTCTTTTATTTAAAAACGGAAATGCCTAGTGTTACCTAGTACTGTAATGAAAAGCTAGAAATACAAGCTTCATGTCAAAGAGTGACCATTAACAGAGAATAAAAAATAAAAAATCAACATCTTGCTAGTCAAAACTAAAGATCATGGACAATGCTTCCTAAAATTTGTATAGTCTCCCTTACCAGCAGTATCCAGAAAGAAATACAGAGGTGAAACGAGTAGTTTGAATAAATTACAGTGGACCCCCGCATAACGATTACCTCCGAAAGCGACCAATTATGTAAGTGTATTTATGTAAGTGCGTTTGTATGTGTATGTTTGGGGGTCTGAAATGGACTAATCTACTTCACAATATTCCTTATGGGAACAAATTCGGTCAGTACTGGCACCTGAACATACTTCTGGAGTGAAAAAATATCGTTAACCGGGGGTCCACTGTATGTGTATTAAAAAAGGCAGTAAAAGCAGTGCTGCTCTATCCCACCCCTTAAAGGAGATTCCTTGATGTCAGTGTGGGGCTCTTGAGCTAAGGAATTGGACCTGTGCTCCCCTTCCTTGGACTGAACCTGAATGCTTCCCATATGACCCACTATATGACTCCTATAGGTTTGGCACTCTCCTAAGAATGTAATAATAATAATATTGCTCTGTCATGTGCCAAATTACAACTGCAATTTAAGTTTTAATAAATGGAAAAAAAGGTGCTTAAATATGACAATTCTCCTATAAAGAGGCATATTGGACAACTGAATTAAATTATATCAGTTCAATTTATCTGATGAAAAATTGAATTAAAACAAAGTAATCTGCACCCAAGTCAGTTTGAAACCTCTGAGCAATATAGCACAATGATACTGAGGTCTCTGTCATTGTTTATTGTTTTCCTGTTATACATGCATGCGCACACACATATACGCACACGCACACACAGAGCAAATGTAAGATTATGAAGACTGGGGAAAGGGAGAGAAGACCAGATAGAGTATAGACTCTGGGAACAGGATGCAGCCCTAATTCAAAGAGAAGCACCTGTGAGTAGGCACAGTGCCTACCATATTGCCAGAGGCTCACATTAACTGAATAACCTCTGCAGTCAATGCTCGCCTGGCAAATCTGAGAGTGGCCTTCAGGAATCTCAACAAAGAGTCATTCCAGATGATTTATATAACATATGTCAAGCCCATCTTGGAGGACGCAGCACCAGTATAGAACCCACACCTGAGGAAGCATGTTAAGAAACTGAAAAAAGTGCAGACATTTCCAACACAAGAATAAAAGACATAACACCATGACTAGAACAATACACAAATAACCTGCACATAGGACACTGAAACTAATGATAATGTTTTGGTCTGACTTGAACCATTAACTAGTCAGTGAGACTAGTTCCAGGGCTAAGGGGTATGATATATTAGGAAAGGCTAAAGGAATTGAATTTAATGACCCTGGCAGAAAGAAGGCCCAGGGAAGACATGATGATAACATTCAAAATACTCAGAGGAACTGGCAGGTAAAGAGGGATGGGTTGTTTGAGAGCCTGGAAACAGATACTCTAGGCATAGCTGGAAGCTAAAGACTCGGTATGACCCTTGTAGGTTTAGCACTTCATTTATTATTATGATAATAATAATGGAAGTTAAAGACACAGATGAGTCACAGGGATGTCAGGAAGTATTTCGTCAGTCTCAGAGTGGTTGAGAAGTGAAATAAACTTGAATAGTGGAAGCAGGCTCCATACAAAGTTTTAAAAATAGGTATGATAGGGTCCATGAGGCTAGGAAAGAGTGAATCTAGCAAGTTGAGAGGTGGGGCCAGGAGCTCAGTCTCAACCCCTGCCTCCCCATACAGTTGAAAACAAACAAACACACACAGAGCAACAAGGAGTCACAGCCGGAAGCTGAAAACTCAGAGGAGTCAGGAATGTTAGAAAGTACTTCTTCAGTCAGAGAGTTGTCAGGCAGTGGAACAGTCTGGAAAGTGATGTAGTGGAGGCAGGATCCATACATAGCTTTAAGAAGAGGTACGATAAAGCTTATGAAGCAAGGAGAGTGGACCTAGTAGTGATCAGCGAAGAGGCAGGGCCAGGAGCTATGACTTAACCCCTGCAACCATAAATAGGTAAAAACACACACATAGTCACACTATCACTTTCATTATTATCTAGCTGTCTCCTTCAATCCAGCAACTAATCAAAAAATGCAATAAAAGAATGTACAAAAAATGGGTCCATAAAAAAACTGGGGTTGAAGGAGGGATTGAGGTCACTCCACAGGAGGTTGGAGGGAGGGGATAAAGGAGGTTTAGTGAGTGAATGAGTGTGTGTGTGCGCAAGTGTTCATGTGTGTTTGCACAGGTGTGAATATGTGCATGTGCATGTGTGTGTGCATACGCACATGCATACATACATACAAACAATTGTTAATCTCATTAGCTGTCTCCCGCTAAGGCACAGTGACCCAAAGAAAAAACAAAACACATTCATCATCATTCATTCATTTATCTTTGAGACAGTAATTTATAGTATTTCATCCTACAAAAGTTATTCTCTTAACAAAATTAAACTAATAGTGAGTTTAAAGGATTATCAATGAGGATGTATAATTTTGTGTGTTATACTGTGGATGGGAACAATGATAGTTGCAGGTGACAATTAGCAATAGTAAGCATAAAAAGGTGCAATTCCTTTGTATTTGCTTTGCTACTACATCTTAGTGGGAAGTCAGTTAAGAGTTCTGATTGACTGGTTGTATATTTAAGTTCTAATTGATGATGAAAATTTGAACTTTTAATGAACTATTACTGTTCATCTATTAATAAAAAAAGGCTTAAATAATACTAACTTTCCAATTTCCTTAAATGAAAGTAAGCCATATTTTGATACTTTCTATGGCAAGCAAAAAAAAAAAAAAAAAAAAAAAAAAAAAAAAAAAGTCTCATCATGACAGCACCTATTGTACAACCTCACTCAGAGCCTCAGCATGACTTGCCTGTGTACTAGGTGTCTGTGGGGGTGTTGGTGCCCTGTAGGAGACAGTAGTAGTGTGACCTGCTGCCGTGGGGCCTTGGGGAGTTCCATACATTCCTCCAGACATACCTTGCATGCCCCCCATGGTCTGGTACACGGCACCCCCTGGCATGCCGTTCGCTGTGTAGTAGCCCATGCTGCTACCCATCCTGAAATGAATATATGATTATTGCTTAGTGATTTGTGCCATGAGTACATACTTTATCAGTTTCTTGAAAACAAAACTATTGCTAGGGAGGCCAAAAACAGGACAGCTTACAGGTACTTGACAAAGGGACTTATTTAAAATATACCTTAATACAAATAAACCCCAGGTGAAGAAAAGAATATGTATTGAGTTGAAGAACCAATGTCAGATGAAGAACAAATGATAAATCAAAACAATTGTGTCATATATTAATAAATACTGTACCAAAATTAATCCTTCTACAAAATTTCTGCACTTTATACACTATATATATACAGTAACCTCTCATAACTTGTTCAACTGTAATTCATGTTATCAGTAACTTGCAATTTAAATTTTGCTCCAAAAATAAAAATTCATGTCTTCATGGGAGTGGACTTGTCAGCAGATGGGTCCATGAAGTACAAGATGAACCATAAAACAGACGAAGAGAAAGAGATAGGTAATATGTTCAGGCATCTGGGGACAGAAAGAAGTTTACAGAGGGAAAATAGGGGAATGAATGAAGGTACAGTGGTACTAACTCTTATATATGGTGTTAGGCATAGATTGCAAACACTGTGGCAAGGAGGCGGCTAGAGGCAATGGGGGGTGTCATGTTTGAGAGCAGTATGGTGCGAATATCATGCACAGAATTTGAGGAGTAGAAATTAGAAGATGGAAAGGGGTTACCAAAGGTATAATCTGGAGGGCTGAGGAGGGGTTGTTGAGGTGTTTGGGCATTTAGAGAGGATGGAGCAGAATACAATGACCAAGAGAGTTATAAATCTGAGGAGGAAGAGAGAGAAGCAGGGGTTTACCAGGAAAGGTTAAAGAGATAGGGTAAAGGAGGTATGAGTGCTAGGGGTTTGAGCATCCAGCAAAGTAACATTTATGAAGGAATTCACAGAAACTTTTTAGCTGCAGTGGTGGGAAGTACAGTGCCAGCACTCTGAAGAAGGGGTGAGGATCCTGCAGTGTGGAAGATCACTTGATCTGTGATGTCAGCACACTTCTGGCAAGACAGTTATTGAATGGATGATGGTGAATGAGTTTTCCTTTTAAGGTCACTCTACCTCAGTGAGAACCAGAATTTAAAAAAGTGCACGATGTAAATTAATATTACGAGAACTTATGAATAACTAAAGAGAAATGGGTCTATCTGTTTAGGACAATAAGACAACTTATGTGTAATGTGTAATCTCACCATGGTTGTTTAATATACACCTACCATCCGACTTACGACCTGCTCGACGTACGACCACTCGACTTACGACCGTGTTTTTTATGCCAAATTTCTGGGAAATAAACAACTATTTGCGTTGTACACAGTGTTTATCCTAAACCTTACAGTATAAAATACAGTACTAACAGCATAAAAAGTAAAGTAAAACATGAAATACCAAAATAAAACAATAAAATAAAGTCATTACAAAAATGTTTTGTTGATATTCAGTAGTAAAGTTCGACTTACGACCATTTCGACTTACGACCGGTTTCTCGGAACCAAACTCGGTTGTAAGTCGGATGGTAGGTGTATTTATAGATGGGGTTGTAAAAAAAGTAAATGCTAGGGTGTTGGGGAGTGGGGTGGGATTAAATTATGGAGAATCAAATACAAAATGGGAGTTGACACAGTTACTTTTTGCTGATGATACTGTGCTTTTGGGAGGTTCTAAAGAAAAGTTGCAAAGGTTAGTGGACGAGTTTCAGAGGGTGTGCAAGGTAGAAAGTTGATCAAACGATTTACATAAAGAAAAATTGGATATCACATTGGAAAGAGGGAGTATGGAAGAAATAAATGTTTTCAGATATTTGGGAGTTGACTTGTCAGCAGATGGGTTTATGAAAGATGAGGTTAACCATAGAACTGATGAAAGCAAGAAGGTGAGTGGTGCATTGAGGTATCTGTGAAGACAAAAAACGTTATCCATGGAGGCAAAGAAGGGAATATATGAAAGTATAGTGGTACCAACACTCTTATATGGGTGTGAAGCTTGGGTTGTAAATGCTGCAGCAAGGAGGCAGCTGGAGGCAGTGGAGATGTTGTGTCTAAGGGCAATGTGTGGTGTAAATATTATGCAGAGAATTCAGAGAGTGGAAATCAGGTGTGGAGTTACTAAAAATATTAGTCAGAGGGCTGAAGAGGGGGTTGTTGAGGTGGTTTGATCATTTAGAAAGAATGGAACAAAGTAGAATGACTTGGAGAGCATATAAATCTGTAGGGGAAGGAAGGCGGGGTAGGGATCATCCTCGAAAAGGATGGAGGGAGGGGGTAAAGGAAGTTTTGTGGGCTTGGACTTTCAGCAAGCATGCATGAGCATGTTAGATAAGAGTGAATGGAGACGAATGGTTTTTGGGACCTGACGAGCTATTGCAGTGTGAGCAGAATAATATTTTGTGAAGGGATTCAGGAAAACTGGTTAGCCAAACTTAAGTTCTGGAAATGGGAAGTACAATGCCTGCACTTTAAAGGAGGGGTTTGGGATATTGGCGCCTCTTCAAAGAGTGATTATGTATGAGTGATGGTGAAAGTGTTGAATGATGATGAAAGTATTTTTCTTTCTTTTGGGGTTTTTCTTTCTTTTTGGGTCACCCTGTCTCGATGGGAAATGACCAATGTGTTAAAAAAAAAACTATATTACAGATCACTGTAATTGGGCAAGAATAAATTCATATTAAATTTTTTGATACTACTTATTTTGGTTATTGAGTTACAGTTGTTTTAGTCATTAGGCAAGTTGTTTTGTAATTTTGGCCTTTCATCTGAATGGCATTTTTATTAAGACTCAGTCGTACATGTCGGACACCAAAGAGGTATTCATTTCTTATACTGTGTCTGTGTCCTGTTGTGGTTCTACAAGGAGAGCTGTAGGTCTAAGTCTGGGCTTGTTTGTATTCAGTGAATCAGTGTCCTGTAAATATAGAATGCACAACAGATTGTTTGAGCTGTCTGTAGGTTTAGTTGTTTATATAGTAAAGATGTTTGCTGCTTGAATTTTGAATGTGATGATTATTATTCTATGTTCAGGTCCCATAATCCAAATCTGGAATTCGCAAAAGGATTTTTTTTTTTCCAACAAACCGGCCGTATCCCACCAAGGCAGGGTGGCCCAAAAAGAAAAACGAAAGTTTCTCTTTTTAAATTTAGTAATTTATACGGAAGGGGTTACTAGCCCCTTGCTCCCGGCATTTTAGTCGCCTCTTACAACACGCATGGCTTACGGAGGAAGAATTCTGTTCCACTTCCCCATGGAGGTAAGAGGAAATAAACAAGAACAAGAACTAGAAAGAAAATAGAAAACCCAGAGGGGTGTGTATATATACGCTTGTACATGTATGTGTAGTGTGACCTAAGTGTAAGTAGAAGTAGCAAGATGTACCTGAAATCTTGCATGTGTATGAGACAGAAAAAAAGACACCAGCAATCCTACCATCGTGTAAAACAATTACAGGTTTCCGTTTTACACTCACTTGGCAGGACAGTAGTACCTCCCTGGGCGGTTGCTGTCTACCAACCTACTACCTAGGAAAAGGAATTTGTGTCCATACTTAAACATCTTTATTATTTTGTCAACAAACTGGCCATATCCCACTGAAGAAGGGTGGCCCAAAAGGAAAAACAAGCCATACTTAAACATGTCAAATATAAATAAGTTAAAAAGCATGTTATAAAATGACTTTTAGAACTAAGACGTACAAGTTATAAAAGAATGACTGAAAAATGTTATCGATGGTTGATAAGAGGAAGAAACAGTATTTTTTTTTAACATGCTGATCATCTACCACTGAAGTAGGGTGACCTGCAAAAGAAACACTTTCACCAACATTAACACTATCACTGTCTTGCCAGAGGTGCACAGATATGACAGTCCAGTTTATCACCATATAAAAATCATCAAGGATAAGAGAATAGTAGACTACTGGTATGAGATCTAGGAGGAGGTAGTACATACTACAACAAGAGATAATAATATAATAAAGTTAAACACTAAACCCAAAAGTGACATACAGTGCACCTAAACAAGTAAAAACTTGGAAAAAAAATGACAAACTAAATGATGAAGACAAGACTTGACCAACAAAATTTATTGGGATACATACCACAAATAATCTTATCCTAGCCATGCTAGGTGTCCTAGTGGCCCCCTCTGTAATTAGCATTTTATAACATGTAAACCACACAATATCCAAATCCTGTAAACCCCACATTGTAACCCTTATAGAGAATAAAGTGGCAGCAGTGAGAGAAAATATAAAATTATTCTAAATTCCATACAACTTACTGAGGAAAAGTAGTGGTAGAGGTTGAAGGAGTAAGAGTGTACTGTTGTAGGCTTGATGCTGGCTGACCAGCTGGTATAGGTCCAGCGAGTGCAGCACCTGCAGCAGGCAACTGATAGTAATAGGTAGTGCCACCTGTTTCTTGGCCATTACTGGCTCCCCCAACACTACCACCAGCTGGGTATGTCACAACTGTGTAGCCTCCTGGAAGATAGCCTCCACCTATAAAAAAAAAAAAAAATCTTTGAGGAAAGGAACAAGGCATTCATAATGTAGACCATTTTACTCAAAAATATATAAATAAAATATTGGATAATAATAATAATAACAAGAAAGAGGGAACACTGCAGCAGGCCTACTGTCCCATGTGAGGCAGGTCCAATTCTCCTACTGGCTTAAGTCAATGCCCTAACCTAGTCAGGTCAGGTCACATTCACATAATAATAATAATAATAATAATAATAATATTTTTATTTTATTTATTATCACACTGGCCGATTCCCACCAAGGCAGGGTGGCCCGAAAAAGAAAAACTTTCACCATCATTCACTCCATCACTGTCTTGCCAGAAGGGTGCTTTACACTACAGTTTTTAAACTGCAACATTAACACCCCTCCTTCAGAGTGCAGGCACTGTACTTCCCATCTCCAGGACTCAAGTCCGGCCTGCCGGTTTCCCTGAATCCCTTCATAAATGTTACTTTGCTCACACTCCAACAACACGTCAAGTATTAAAAACCATTTGTCTCCATTCACTCCTATCAAACACGCTCACGCATGCCTGCTGGAAGTCCAAGCCCCTCGCACACAAAACCTCCTTTACCCCCCTCCCTCCAACCCTTCCTAGGCTGACCCCTACCCCGCCTTCCTTCCACTACAGACTGATACACTCTTGAAGTCATTCTGTTTCGCTCCATTCTCTCTACATGTCCGAACCACCTCAACAACCCTTCCTCAGCCCTCTGGACAACAGTTTTGGTAATCCCGCACCTCCTCCTAACTTCCAAACTAACGAATTCTCTGCATTATATTCACACCACACATTGCCCTCAGACATGACATCTCCACTGCCTCCAGCCTTCTCCTCGCTGCAACATTCATCACCCACGCTTCACACCCATATAAGAGCGTTGGTAAAACTATACTCTCATACATTCCCCTCTTTGCCTCCAAGGACAAAGTTCTTTGTCTCCACAGACTCCTAAGTGCACCACTCACTCTTTTTCCCTCATCAATTCTATGATTCACCTCATCTTTCATAGACCCATCCGCTGACACGTCCACTCCCAAATATCTGAATACGTTCACCTCCTCCATACTCTCTCCCTCCAATCTGATATTCAATCTTTCATCACCTAATCTTTTTGTTATCCTCATAACCTTACTCTTTCCTGTATTCACCTTTAATTTTTTTTCTTTTGCACACCCTACAAATTCATCCACCAATCTCTGCAACTTCTCTTCAGAATCTCCCAAGAGCACAGTGTCATCAGCAAAGAGCAGCTGTGACAACTCCCATTTTGTGTGTGATTCTTTATCTTTTAACTCCACGCCTCTTGCCAAGACCCTCGCATTTACTTCTCTTACAACCCCATCTATAAATATATTAAACAACCACGGTGCCCATCACACATCCTTGTCTAAGGCCTACCTTTACTGGGAAAAAATTTCCCTCTTTCCTACATACTCTAACTTGAGCCTCACTATCCTCGTAAAAACTCTTCACTGCTTTCAGTAACCTACCTCCTACACCATACACTTGCAACATCTGCCACATTGCCCCCCTATCCACCCTGTCATACGCCTTTTCCAAATCCATAAATGCCACAAAGACCTCTTTAGCCTTATCTAAATACTGTTCACTTTTTATGTTTCACTGTAAACACCTGGTCCACACACCCCCTACCTTTCCTAAAGCCTCCTTGTTCATCTGCTATCCTATTCTCCGTCTTACTCTTAATTCTTTCAATTATAACTCTACCATACACCTTACCAGGTACACTCAACAGACTTATCCCCCTATAATTTTTGCACTCTCTTTTATCCCCTTTGCCTTTATACAAAGGAACTATGCATGCTCTCTGCCAATCCCTAGGTACCTTACCCTCTTCCATACATTTATTAAATAATTGCACCAACCACTCCAAAACTATATCCCCACCTGCTTTTAACATTTCTATCTTTATCCCATCAATCCCGGCTGCCTTACCCCCTTTCATTTTACCTACTGCCTCACGAACTTCCCCCCACACTCACAACTGGCTCTTTCCTCACTCCTACAAGATGGTTATTCCTCCTTGCCCTATACACGAAATCACAGCTTCCCTATCTTCATCAACATTTAACAATTCCTCAAAATATTCCCTCCATCTTCCCAATACCTCTAAACTCTCCATTTAATAACTCTCCTCTCCTATTTTTAACTGACAAATCCATTTGTTCTCTAGGCTTTCTTAACTTGTTAATCTCACTCCAAAACTTTTTCTTATTTTCAACAAAATTTGTTGATAACATCTCACCCACTCTCTCATTTGCTCTCTTTTTACATTGCTTCACCACTCTCTTAACTTCTCTCTTTTTCTCCATATACTCTTCCCTCCTTGCATCACTTCTACTTTGTAAAAACTTCTCATATGCTAACTTTTTATCCCTTACTACTCTCTTTACATCATCATTCCACCAATCGCTCCTCTTCCCTCCTGCACCCACTTCCTGTAACCACAAACTCTTGCTGAACACTCTAACACTACATTTTTAAACCTAGCCCATACCTCTTCGACCCCATTGCCTATGCTCTCATTAGCCCATCTATCCTCCAATAGCTGTTTATATCTTACCCTAACTGCCTCCTCTTTAGTTTATAAACCTTCACCTCTCTCTTCCTGATGCTCTATTCTCCTTGTATCCCATCTACCTTTTAATTTCAGTGTAGCTACAACTAGAAAGTGATCTGATATATCTGTGGCCCCTCTAAAAACCCATGTACATCCTGAAGTCTACTCAACAGTCTTTTATCTACCAATACATAATCCAACAAACTACTGTCATTTCGCCCTACATCATATCGTGTATACTTATTTATCCTCTTTTTCTTAAAATATGTATTACCTATAACTAAACCCCTTTCTATACAAAGTTCAATCAAAGGGCTTCCCATTATCATTTACACCTGGCACCCCAAACTTACCTACCACACCCTCTCTAAAGGTTTCTCCTACTTTAGCATTCAGGTCCCCTACCACAATTACTCTCTTCATTTGGTTCAAAGGCTCCTATACATTCACTTAACATCTCCCAAAATCTCTCTCTCTCTCTGCATTTCTCTCTTCTCCAGGTGCATACACGCTTATTATGACCCACTTCTGGGCATCCAACCTTTTACTTTAATCCACATAATTCTTGAATTTACACATTCATATTCTCTTTTTCTCCTTCCATAACTGATCATTTAACATTACTGCTACCCCTTCTTTGCTCTAACTCTCTCAGATACTCCAGATTTAATCCCATTTATTTCCCCCACTGAAACTCTCCTACCCCCTTCAGCTTTGTTTCGCTTAGGGCCAGGACATCCAACTTCTTTTCATTCATAACATCAGCAATCATCTGTTTCTTGTCATCCGCACTACATCCACGCACATTTAAGCAACCCAGTTTTATAAAGTTTTTCTTCTTCTCTTTTTTTAGTAAATGTGTACAGGAGAAGGGGTTACTAGCCCATTGCTCCCGGCATTTTAGTCGCCTCATACGACACGCATGGCTTACGGAGGAAAAATTCTTTTCCACTTCCCCATGGACAATAGAAGAAATAAAAAAGAACAAGAGCTATTTACAAAAAGGAGAAAAACCTAGATGTATGTATATATATATATGCATGTGCGTGTCTGTGAAGTGTGACCAAAGTGTAAGTAGGAGTAGCAAGATATCCCTGTTATCTTAGCGTGTTTATGAGACAGAAAAAGAAAACCAGCAATCCTACCATCATGTAAAACAGTTACAGGTTTCTGTTTCACAGTCATCTGGCAGGACGGTAGTACTTCCCTGGGTGGTTGCTGTCTACCAACCTACTACCTATAATAATAATAATAATAATAATAATAATAATAATAATAGTTTTATTATCATTATTTCAGCAAAACTTTTATAAAAATAATTCCACAAGAAATATCAAATTTTATAAAAAAGAATAGAGTGACTTCCATGAAGAATAGTAGGAGATGTTGCAATTTAGTAGATCATTTGAATTCTAATGTCCATGAACTTCTAAAAAGAGCTAGGGAGTAGGTAAAGGTGAATGTGTTTTCCTTGTCTGGGTACTCTGCCTTGTTGGGAAATGGATGATGTATTAAAAAGGGTAAATATCTTGTTCTCAATATTTTACCTGGAGGCAGTGCAGGGTTATGGTCCATGGAGGGATGGTGTGCTGTGGGTGGCACTGGAGCTGTGGGAATAGCCCCAGCCACAGCTGGCACTGTGGATACTGCAGACATGCTCTGCACCTGCTGTATACCTGTAGGTTGAACTCCAGCGGGTGCCTGAACACCTGCAGGGGTTGCCTGCACAGGAGCCATCTGGTACTGAGGATATACATATTTGAGGGAACCACTCATGTTGGCAACACTACCCGATGGCATGTAGTATACAGGCTGAAAATGTAGGCATACATACAATATTAATAATATTACTAAAATTAAAGGCCAAAAATATATTTAAATCTAGAGAATTCAAATAAAGTATTGCAATTAGTATGTCAAACATTGCATAACATCCTTCAATCATTGACCGTCCCTTCAAGATAGGTGCCTTGCTGGGGCCCTTGATCCAAGGACTTGGACCTGTCCTCCCCTTAGATCAAACCTTGGATGAAACTGCTTGTATTTTTTTTACTTTAAATACAAAATAAATATGTATAATGAATTTAAAATTATTTGTAATAAAGTTGGTAGAATTACCGACAATATGTAAAGTAAAAGGACACAAGTGCAACTAATGTGACATTTTATTATAATGAATTTAAAATTATTTAGCATACTGGGTGGTTTTTTATGTGCTCGCTTCCCTTGATGTTATAATGAGGCTACACCACTAGTGCAGAGCTGGGCAAGCAAACATGAGCTTCACAAATCTTGTACAATATATATATATATATATTTAGGAGTACTAAGAGTTTTGGCTTACTTAAAAGTCTAATAATTGTTTCTTTGATTTTTTATTTACCTTTTACTTCAAGCTTTATTATCAACAATAATAATGTAACTGAAACATAGATTACCTGTGTATAGTGTTGTCTAGGAACAATATAACTCTGAGGTAAAGGTGCAGCTGATGCTTGTACTGGTGTAAGATCAGTGCCACCATCTCCTCCACTGCTTGGCCCACTTAAACATAACCCTCGTATTTGGTTTGCCACTTCGTTTACATGTCCCTCCTGGGAAAAAAAAAATTAGGTGTGTGTGTAATATGTGTAGCACTCATTATTCAGAGAACTGGGGAGGGGTTATTGAGATGGTTTGGATCTTCTTTCTTTCAACACACTGGCCGTATCCCACCAAGGCAGGGTGGCCCAAAAAGAAAAACGAAAGTTTCTCTTTTAAATTTAGTAATTTATACGGGAGAAGGGGTTACTAGCTCCTTGCTCCCGGCATTTTAGTCGCCTCTTACAACACGCATGGCTTACAGAGGAAGAATTCTGTTCCACTTCCCCATGGAGATAAGAGGAAATAAACAAGAACAAGAACTAGAAAGAAAATAGAAGAATACCCAGAGGGGTGTGTATATATATATATGCTTGTACATGTATGTGTAGTGTGACCTAAGTGCAAGTAGAAGTAGCAAGACATACCTGAAATTTTGCATGTTTATGAAACAGACAAAAGACACCAGCAATCCTACCATCATGTAAAACAATTACAGGTTTTCGTTGTGCACTCACTTGGCAGGACGGTAGTACCTCCCTGGGTGGTTGCTGTTTACCAACCTACTACCTAGGATGGTTTGGATATTTAAAGAAAATAGAATGACTAGGAAGGCATATAAATCTGGGGTGAAGGGAAGGAGGGTGAAGGAATCATCTTATGAAAGAGTGGAGGAGGGGATAAAGGAGGTTTTAAGTGCTAAGAGCTTGGACAACCAACGGGCTTGTGTGAGCATGTTAGAATGGCGTGGAGGCAAGTGGTTTTTAGGACTTGACGTGCTGTTGAAGTCTGAGCAAGGTAACTTTTATGAAGGGATTCAGGGAAACCAGCTAGTTGGACTTAGTCCTGGAGGTGAAAAGTACAGAGTCGGCACCCTGAAGGAGGGGTAAGGATATTTGCAGTTTTGAACTGTAGTATCAGCATGCTTCTAGCAAGACAGTGATTGGGTGAGTGATGAAGAAAGTGTTTTTTCTTTATAGGAACACCTAACCTCAGTGGGAGAAGGCTGGTGTATTAAAATATACATCTTTCTTTCAACAAACCGGCCGTATCCCACAAAGGCAGGGTGGCCCAAAAAGAAAAACAAAAGTTTCTCTTTTCAAATTTAGTAATTTATACAGGAGAAGGGGTTACTAGCCCCTCTCTCCTGGCATTTTAGTCGCATGGCTTACGGAGGAAGAATTCTGTTCCACTTCCACATGGAGATAAGAGGAAATAAACAAGAACAAGAACTAGGAAGAAAATAGAAGAAAACCCAGAGGGGGGTGTATATATATGCTTGTACATGTATGTGTAGTGTGACCTAAGTGTAAGTAGAAGTAGCAAGACGTACCTGAAACCTTGCATGTTCATGAGACAGAAAAATGGACACCAGCAATCCTACCATCATGTAAAACAATTACAGGCTTTCGTTTTACACTCACTTGGTACTACCATCCTGCCAAGTGAGTGTAAAACAAAAGCCTGTAATTGTTTTACATGATGGTAGGATTGCTGGTGTCCTTTTTTCTGTCTCAAACATGCAAGACTTCAAGTATGTCTTGCTACTTCTACTTACACTTAGGTCACACTACACATACATGTCTTCCTCTTTCATTCAACACACCGGCCGTATCCCACCGAGGCGGGGTGGCCCAAAAGGAAAAACAAAAGTTTCTCCTTTTACATTTAGTAATATATACAGGAAAAGAGGTTACTAGCCCCTTGCTCCCGGCATTTTAGTCGCCTCTTACAACACGCATGGCTTACGGAGGAAGAATTCTGTTCCACTTCCCCATGGAGATAAGAGGAAATAAACAAGAATAAGAACTAGAAAGAAAATAGAAGAAAACCCAGAGGGGGGTGTATATATGTGCTTGTACATGTATGTGTAGTGTGACCTAAGTGTAAGTAGAAGTAGCAAGACGTACCTGTAATCTTGCAGATTTATGAGACAGACAAAAGACACCAGCAATCCTACCATCATGTAAAACAATTACAGGCTTTCGTTTTACACTCACTTGGTACTACCATCCTGCCAAGTGAGTGTAAAACAAAAGCCTGTAATTGTTTTACATGATGGTAGGATTGCTGGTGTCCTTTTTTCTGTCTCAAACATGCAAGACTTCAAGTATGTCTTGCTACTTCTACTTACACTTAGGTCACACTACACATACATGTACAAGCATATATATACACACTCCTCTCGGTTTTCTTCTATTTTCTTTCTAGTTCTGGTTCTTATTTATTTCCTCTTATCTCCATGGGGAAGTGGAACAGAATTCTTCCTCCATAAGCCATGCGTGTTGTAAGAGGCGACTAAAATGCCAGGAGCATGGGGCTAGTAACCCCTTCTCCTGTATAAATTACTAAATTTAAAAAGAGAAACTTCCATTTTTCTTTTTGGGCCACCCTGCCTTGGTGGGATATGGCCGGTTTGTTAAAAAAAAAAATGTACAGTATATCTATATAACACACTTTATATACAGTAAAACCTTTTGCAACAGGGTTACATTCCTGAAAATTGAAGTCTTATAAAAATTAGGGTTCTGTGAAGACTTATAGAACCATTAAGAAAAATGAATACACATACCATCCGACTTACGACCTGCTCAACATACATCCACTCGACTTACGACCGTGCATATGGCAGCTGGGCTGGGCCGGCTGATGCATACCGCTGTACAATATTTGATGATACTCGTGGCGGCAACGTGCCATGCAGGCAGCATCAGTCTGAGTTACCCTGCCCTATCAGCAGCATCATACAGTATTTACTGTACTAACTGGACAGTAAATTTCTTAGGAAGTCTGAATCTTGCACTGGAGATTGTGGCAAGAAGGCAAGAAAGGTACTTACTTTCGAACTCTCTTTATTGGTTTTCACTGTTGCACATAAACCTGTCTGTATCTGTCTGATTATGTATCTGTCTGTCTATCTGTCTAGATCTGTCTGCTTATCTGTCTTTATGTCTTCCTGTGTGTGTCTGTCTTTCTGTCTGCTTGTCTCTCTGTCTCAGAGAGCCACTCATGAACCAACAGGTACTACACACAAAGTAGAGTCATCATATCTTCAATATGACGCTAATATCAGCTCTACAGTTTATTTATCTATTACAATTCATCTAATATGACATAATAAACAATATAACATAAAAACCTGATATACACTCTAGAATTAATAAAATATGAACATAACTGCTTTAAACTCTACATCTTACACCTGTGCTGGCATGCAGGTATATATTAAAATCAATAAGAGTGTATTATTGGTCTTGAAGATGCCATATTAATAATGATAATAACAACACAATAATAATCACTCTGAGGTGCATTAAATGCATATAAAATGTTAATATAGACATTTTGCTTAATCCATCTATGGTTTTTTTTTCCAGTTGGCTTGACAGAGGGAACAAAAACCATTCGTGTCCAGGTGCTGGTAACAACAAGAACAACAACTAATTTGTTTACAAAACTCGTGAACCTTCTACACTCTCATTCTCTCTTGTTTATTCATTTAATCTTGTTTACTCACCTCTCACACTATATTAAGACTACAGATATTTTAAGGTAAGTAATGAGCGAACACTATTATTATTATATTATAATAATAACATTATTATTAGTAGTAGTACATACTTATTATTGTAATAATAATAATAATAATAATATCTATATTATTATTATTAACCTAGGGAACTGGAGTACAGATCCACTGTATAGCACTTTGTCTGGATTTTTTTGGGTTATGCTAGGTAATTTACACTATGTAAGATAACTTTACTTATGTGTACCAGTGAGAGAGAGACAGAGATAGAGAACAGATGCAGATGGAGAGACAGCCAAATTCAGTCAGCCAGGCAGCCAACCAACCACCCAAAGGCCAGCTGGTCTGCTAGCCAGCCAGCCGAATACGTATTATATACGTTCCAGAGTCGTTTCTCTTTACTTAGGGCATAGGTTATAGGACATTCTGACAGGATGACACTACCAATGGTATTCTCCCATTCCACTGTGCCGACAATACTTAAAGATAACAGTAACATACGATACTGTATGAGATGTAAAATTTACAATACAGTCCACTACCATGTATACATAATATACAGTACATAAATTATTAAAATATATCAACAGTATATTATGGTAAAAAGAATGAAATAATGATTGTACATTACATTACAGTACTATGTAGGTAGTTTAAATCAAATCAAATCAAATCAAAGTTTATTCTCTATAAGGATTGCAATGCAGGGTTTACAGATTTTGGTTATTGTGTGGTTTACATGTAGTAAAATAATAATTACAGAGGGGGCCACTAGAACACCTAGCATGGCTAGGCATTTCGGGCAAACTTAGATTAATTCTTAACCCTAAATTATAACAAAATGTGGGGTAAGTTGACTAAATACTAAGTGACAAATACTGAAGGAGGGGTGTTAATGTTGCAGTTTAAAAACTGTAGTGTAAAGCACCCTTCTGGCAAGACAGTGATGGAGTGAATGATGGTGAAAGTTTTTCTTTTTCGGGCCACCCTGCCTTGGTGGGAATCGGCCAGTGTGATAAAAAAAAAAAAAAAAAAAATACTAGTTTGTGAGTTTAGCAATGTGAATGCTTTTGTTTTGGCACAATACATAGTTTCTATATTGGAGTATCACAGGCAAACTTATGACTAGTTTGGAATCATTATTTTAAGATTAGGATATGTATTTCTGTGCTTATAGTCAAAGGGGTGAGTGAGTGAGTGTAAATGTGGACCACCAGGTGGTTTTTATGTAGTTAGTTGATGGGGTGTATCAGGGAGATAAGATGTTTTCTAACAATAGTTTTGAAGGTGATGAATGTGTCTGCTGTTCTAGAGTTTTTAGGTAGTGTTTTCCAGATTTTAGGGCCTTTGACATACACCAAGTTTTTGTAAAGGTTTAGTCAGACACGGGGAATGCCGTAGAGATGTTTGTGTCTGGTGTTATGCCTGTGGGTCCTGTCACAACTATCAAGAAAGCATTTTAGGTCAAGGTTAATATTGGAATTTAAGGTCCTGTATATGTAGATTGCACAGTAGTAAGTGTGGATGTTCTGAACAGGGAGTAAGTTTAGATCTATGAAGAGTGGGAGGGGGGGGGGTGTTGCCAGGGATGGGAATTAGTGATTATTCTTATTGCAGCTTTTTGTTGAGTTATTACTGGCCTTAGGTGTATTGCTGCAGTTGATCCCCAAGCACAAATAGCATAGGTGAGGTATGGATAAATGAGTGAATGGTATAGTGTGAGAAGGGCATTTTGCAGCACGTAGTATCGTATCTTGGAGAGAATCCCAACTGTTTTGGATACTTTTTTTGATATGTGTTGGATATGGGTGCTGAAATTCAGGTTGTTGTCGAGGTATAGGCCTAGAAATTTGCCCTCATTATGTCTGGCAATTAGAGTGCTGTCGATCTTAATGTTAAGTTGCGCAGCACCTGATCTGCTACCAAACATAATACAGTGGACCCCCGGTTAACGATATTTTTTCACTCCAGAAGTATGTTCAGGTGCCAGTACTGACCGAATTTGTTCCCATAAGAAATATTGTGAAGTAGATTAGTCCATTTCAGACCCCCAAACATACACATACAAACGCACTTACATAAATACACTTACATAATTGGTCGCATTCGGAGGTAATCGTTACGCGGGGGTCCACTGTACATGTATAGTAGGTTTTGTCAGTGTTAAGTGTAAGTTCATTGGCTGTCATCCAAGTTGATATTTTGAGCAGTTCCTCATTAACAATGGTGTTGAGGGTGGCAAGATTAGGGTGAGAGATGACATAAGTCATGTCGTCAGCAAAGAGAATGGGTTTCAGGTGTTGGGATACGTTTGGAAGATCATTGATGTAAATGAGGAAGAGCAGGGGTCCAAGAACACTTCCCTGCGGAACTCCAGTATCAAGTGGCCGTGTTGATGATGCTGTGTCTTTAATGGTGACATACTGATACCTATTAGTAAGGTAGGATTTGAAATATGCAAGTGAATGGCCTCTTATAGAGCAAAGGTTTGACATTATGCCCTACCCAGTATGTCAGCAATTTTCAAAGGTTCAACTTACGTCCATTTTGACTTACAACCAGTTGGTTGGAACCAAGCTCAGTCATAAGTCGGATGGTACTTGTATAATATAAAAGCAAACAATACTAAATTGCTAATTCCTAACCATAAAAATATGTGCAAGAACATCAAAAATGTAGTACAGGTTGACCATCACTAATTCGGCATCATCACGACCTGTAGGGTGCCAGATTAGTGATTTTGCCAGATTACAGAGTGGTTAGGTTAGAATACACTTAACCCAATGGCAATACATATGCATCAGCGATTTCGCCCACTGTATGCCCTATTTTTGGCCCATTCCATTGTTCCATTCTGCCAAACTCATAGCTATTTTGCTAGTATTCCTTCCATTCTATCAACTGAATACAAGAAACTGCCCATTTACCTATTTTAATTACCCAATAAAGTGGTCAGAAATTGGTAATTTGGCCAATTTCACACAAATTTCAAGAGATGCCAATTTCAAAATAGGGTCCAGAATAAACAAGGCAGACATTCCTGGCACTAAAATAACATTTTCTCTGTTCATTAGTCATGTATCAAGGCCCCTCTTACATTATGCTTGCTTTCCATTTTGAATTTTTATTCACACAAAAGATAGAAGATTTACTGGTATGCAGATGACTGCATTATTGTAATAATTGCATAAATAATATCAACCCATTCATGACAGTGTATTAGACCGGCTAGATGGACGCGTATTGGATGGTGACATCATTTGTTTACTCCTGAACATCGGCAAAAATTGAACATTTCTGCTGCTTTGAGCTCAATTTCAAGGTACTTTCCGTCTTGAAACCAATCAAAATCATATCTAGTTCTGTAAGGTATCTTCCATTGTATCAAATGAGACCAAGAAAATGAAAATACAACCATAAAAAACATACAAAAATACACCACAAAGTCGCTGTTTTACAAAGTAAACATACCTTTACCTTTGATATACCTTTGAAGAGTTTCGAGAGTTTATCTACTCTCTGAGCCTGGCTCATCTGGTGCTTGTCTGGTCAACCAGGCTGTTGCTGCTGGAGGCCCGCTGCCCCACGTATCCATCACAGCCTGGTTGATCTGGCACCTGGTGAAGATACTTGTCTAGTTTCCTCTTGAAGGCTTCTACACTTCTTCCAGAGGTGTTTCTGATATCTTCTGGTAAGATGTTGAAAAGTCTGGGACCTCGGATGTTGATACAGTGTTCCCTTATTGTCCCCACTGCACCCCTGCTCCTCACTGGGTTTATTTTACACTTCATCCCATATCTCTCACTCCAGTATGTTGTTATGGCAGTGTGCAGATTTGGGACCAAGCCTTCGAGTACCTTCCAGGTATATATTATCATGTACCTCTCTCTCCTCCATTCCAATGAGTACATGTTCAAGACTTGCAGGCGTTCCCAGTAGTTTAGGTGCTTTACTGGCACAGTTTATTCTCATTATGCACTGTGTGCTGCAGGATATTTTTTATATAGTGCACACTTACCACACAGATTTATTCTCTCACATATAGGCCCAAATTTACCAGTCACAGCTTATCTGAGTGAGCCCGAGCTCATGGCAACCAACAGTCGTTTCAAAGCCACCTTATCTTTAATGGACAATGTAAGGTGTATGTTGCTTTACACAACGAGAAACATTTCTTTTATTCGTTGGAACCATGGCTAAGGCTAAAAGTAAGCAGCTTATCACAATAAATGGAGAAAAACAAATTGGAACGACTTATGCAGAAAGTGGCGCTACCAAACAGTAGGGGCAGGTTAGTGTGGTGACCCCGGACATTTTAAATTATGCTAGGCAAAATTAGTGCCAGATTACTGATTGCCAGATTAGTGATAGCCAACCTGTACTTACACCAAAATTGTATCTCTAGTTTACCCCAAAAATTTTGCATAACCAGTGAATCCAAAAAATATCTTCACAATGCCCTGTGTGATGGATCTCCATTGATTTGAGCCCTAGGACTTTATAAGGGAGCTGAATAACCACTACTGACACTAGTAATGTCTTTAAGCTTGTTTTGAAGAGTTGTGCTCCATCTTCTGGGCCTAACATATTGACCTCAAAGATGACTTGTGCTTGGGAGGGTTGATCTCCAATTCCTTGGCCCTTAAGGGTACAGAGCTCCAAATATTGTTGTATGCTAAAAGGACATATTTTTACTACAAATATTCAATATTAAATATTGAATATTTGTAGTGAATTTAGCTAGCCATTTATTAGCCATTTCAGCCTCACAGGCTAGGCATCTATTTCTTTATACTGTGACTAAAATCTTCTACTGTGATGATTTTGACCTCTTCGTAGTCACTTTTTAGTTCTCGTAGTATGTTATGTAGGCTCTTGTTTATTTTATAAAATTTCTCTCTCCAAAATATTACAAACAGTAGAGTGTATGCATCTGCAAATATAAACAATTCACCTTTGCCCTGGATTTCTTCCACTCTAATTTTGCCATAGTTTGTGTTTTGAATTTTAATTTCTGTAGCTTGAAATGCTGCTTTTACCCATGTTACTAAGATTTTCACTTTCCTTCATATTTTGTCTTTTTGCAAAAGCCTTACTGAGAACAGGTCTGTGTAAGTGTGAGCCATTTATGAAAATGGGAGAGAGATGTATTAAAGACACTGCATAATCCACCATGCTAGAAAGCGAGAAATGGAACACTACATAAAGAATAACAAGCATTTCAATAAAGGTCACTATGATCATATGTTCTATGAAAAATAAGCAACTGACTTCTACTTTCTTTACACTTGCCTGTGAAAACGATCTAGAATCTAACTGGTAATACTGTGGATAGATGACTTGTGGTGTGTGCTGTACAATGGCCTCACTTGTTCCTCCATTGCCTGGCCCACTACTACTTTCTGCTTCTTTAACTTCACTGCTGGACACACCACTGCTCACCACACCTGCTATGAAGACACTGAGAGATCAGAATTGATGATAATGTACTCAAGCTTCAAAAAATTAAAATTTCTAAAACAAAAGACTTTCCATGTTTTTCTTTTGTTCTATGAAGATACATTTTAATAACACACCATTCCCTAAAGGATATTTTTTACTGTGATTTCTGGATCAATAGTTAAAATTATATCAAATGAACCTGAAATAATTAGAAAATACAAACATCAGAAATGGACATACATTATGTAAAAAAATGTTATGCTAATAAACAAAGTAAATTGATAAAATGATGCAAGAAATAACATTTTGCAAAAACACTGCTAATTTCTATAATAATAATACACACATTAGTCATTGTACTAATGTTAATAATTCATTCCCCAACACTTAAACCATGATGGTAGTCTATGTCCCTTCATGGAAGACTGCCCTGATGCCAGTGAAGAGCTCTTGATCCACGGAATTTAAACAAGAGTATCCTTCACTGAATCAAACTAGATTACCTCTCATTCCCTTTGTGTTTCTGGATAAATAATAATAATAATAATAATTTTCATATAGTCGGACTTGAGTCCTGGAAATGGGAAGTACAATGCCTGCACTTTAAAGGAGGGGTTTGGGATATTGGCAGTTTGGAGGGATATGTTGTGTATCTTTATATGTGTATGCTTCTAAACTGTTGTATTCTGAGCACCTCTGCAAAAACAGTGATAATGTGTGAGTGTGGTGAAAGTGTTGAATGAATGAAAGTATTTTCTTTTTGGAGATTTTCTTTCTTTTTTGGGTCACCCTGCCTCGGTGGGAGACGGCCGACTTGTTGAGAAAAGAAGAGAATAATAATAATAATAATAATAATAAATATAAGAATAAGAAAACTTTATAAAAGTTTCTTATTTTTCAGGTCACCCTACCTCAGTGGGAGATGGTTGGTGCATTAAAAAAAGAAAATAATAATTCATATGTCATACCCTATAGGCTGCCAGAAGGCTAAATAAGAGCCTTTAAAAATGGCAATGTCACATATGTGAAAGAAATATGCCCCCTATGTTTATGCTTATCTATGTCTTATTACAAGTATAATGGCAGGATTTTTGTGTAGGTGTGTAGCCCTGCTTCCATTATAACTACCTAAAGGCATTTTAGTTATCCTGCACTATGCTACGATACTCCATAGATTAAGCGGTGCAATAGGAATCTGGCGAGTACTGCCGCCATCTACTTGACAGAGATGAGGGCTCAATGTAAATGGTGAGATCTTACTGATAAGTACAAGGCTAAAATTCACAGGGATTCCCACCTGTCCCAACTTTATGGATAGCCATAAGGCAACTATTAAACCACAAGACTGGCAGCTACTGGCAGATTTACACTGGTTGTGCCTTTTACAAGGATGGGTAGCCAAATACAGAGTTGCATAGGCAACACCTTTTTGAAAAACATCACTATCAAAGGTTATTCATTCCATGATTGACTTACATTTTATTACTTTCACAACAAAAATTCATGAAAGAAAAACCTTGGCTAACTGACAGAATTAAAGTTCATCCTTTAAGGTATGTACAAATTCATCTTGGAATCTACATATTTTTTTTTTAACATGCTGGCCGTCTCCCAGTGAGGCAGGGGGACCCCGAAAAAGAAACACTTTCACCATCATTTACACAATCACTGTCTTGCCAGAGACACACAAATACAACAGTTTGTCCTTTAAACAGCAAATATGATGTATTATATTAATAATAATATATTAATATGGGAAGTACAATGCCTGCACTTTAAAGGAGGGATTTGGGATATTTGATGTATGAAGTGACATCTGAACTGTCATATCTGTGTGCCTCTGCAAAGACAGTGATTATGAGTGAATGGTGACAAAAGTGTTTCTTTTTTAGGTCACCCTACCTTGATGAGAGACACCCAGTGTGTTAAAAACAAAAAAAAAAAGCTATTGCTTTAACCAGGGCAAAATACTTGCAGCTCTCATCCTTAATACAAAAACCCTCCAATAAAAACAAAGAGAAATTGGCATATGCTAGGCATCATTATTAAGAAAAAATTACAAAATTTAAAGACATACTTTGTGCAGGTTCAGGTGAGGTTTGCTGAAGACTATGTTGTTTAGTTGGGGGACTCCGGACGCTGGTCGAGACTGGTGGAGGCAACTCGTGTGGAGAGGGTGGAGAAACAGCTGGGATTTGAGTTATACATGTTGTTCCACTTCCATCTGAACCACCTGTGGCAAATACCCTCAAATGTTATACACAATCAAAACTTAATAAATTACTGTGATCTAACTTATCATGTACAGTGGACCCCCGGATAACGATATTATTTCAATCCAGAAGTCTGTTTGGGTGCCGTTATAGACCGAATTTGTTCCCATAAGAGATATTGTGAATTAGATTAGTCCTGTTTCAGACCCCCAAAAATACACCTACAAAAGCACTTACAAAAATACACTTACATAATTGGTCGAGTTGGGAGCTGATCGTTATGCGAGGGTCCACTGTACTGGCATTTTGCAAGCAATTAATGATTTATAAAATCTGATATGCAATTATGATCATTACAAATATTCAAACAAATTATTTTCAATAAATAGTTTGGTTAATATTGAGATCTATTTCTTTTGAGAAATCTTGCATTATTTTCTTTTAAAAAATACAAAGTAGTATTTCTTGGCACTCCGCCCTATGCATTCCCTGGGGTGAGGTGTGGGAGATAGAGTATGGGATGGAATTGGTATGGAGTGGCATAAAAACATAAGAATGGAGGAACACTGCAGCAGGCCTACTGGCCCATACAAGGCAGGTCCTTATCAAAACTACCCATGTATTTATCCAACCTTTTCCCAAAGCTACCCAAGAATTTACTTCTGTAACCCCAAACACCAATCTTGACCCAGAGGCCGATTCAATTTTGTCATCGACTGTAAAGTAAGGGAACAAAGACTTCAAATTACCTGTATGGAAGAAGTAGGTCGCCTGATTGAGATAGTTTTGTTGTCCTATATTCACCTGTACCGTTTGAAATGAATCAATGGTTTTTTTTTGTTTATTGATCAGTAACCGGGGATTCGGGAACCAAGGCAGGGGCCGGACTTTCGACATCATTCATCCTCACTGTCTGCCAGAAGGGTGCTTTACACTACAGTTTTAAAAACTGCAATTAAAAGCACCCTCCTTCAGAGTGTGGCACGTGACTCCATCTCCAGGACTCAATCGGCACCCTGCCGGTTATCCCTGAATCCCTTCATAAATGTTACTTTGCTCCACACTCCACAGCACGTCAATGTATTAAAGGACATCATTGTCTCATTCAATCCTATCTTAAACACGCTCAGCAGCCTGGGAAGTCCAAGCCACCCCTCGCACACAAAACTTCCTTTAACCCCCTCCCTCCAACCTTTCCTAGGCCCAACCCCTACCACGCCTTCCTTCCAACCAAGACTGATACACTTTGAAGACTCAGGTCTGTTTCGCTCACCTCCTCCTAACTTCCAAACTGGGAGCGAATTCTCTGCATTATATTTCACACCAGACACTTGCCTCTCAGACATGAATTCATCGCTGCCAGCCTTTCTCTCTCGCTAGCGAACATTCTCACCCAATGCTTCACACCCATTAGAGCGTTGGTAAAACTATACTCTCTACTTCCCCTCGTTTGCCTCAAGGACAAAGTTTTTGAACCCACAGACCTCCGTAAGTTGCAGCCACTCACTCTTTTCCCCTCATAAGTTCTATGATACCCATCTTTCAGGACCCATCCACTGACACGTCCACTCCCAAATATCTGAATACATTCACCTCCTCCATACTCTCTCCCTCCAATCTGATATCCAATCTTTCATCACCTAATCTTTGTTATCCTCATATCCTCAATCTAACTTAAATCCATTATGTCTGGTTCTTACTTGATTTGATATCCTCAGTATTCTATTAATATTGCTTTTGTTTATGCTCGTCATCCACTTATACACTTCAATGATTGATTTAGAAAGACACGTAAGCAAAAACCAGGACATATTTATTAGAAAACATTATGGTCCTCCTGCATTCCATTTTCTCTAGTGGATTTCATTTTCTATGGCTGTGCTCCAGGCTCAAAGAGCAGGAATATATCATTTACACAGCCTGAAGTGAAACAGCTGATGTGGGAAGTGACTGATCTCACTTTTCAGCAGCTTGCATGATCAATTAGCAAAAGGGTAAGGAAACATGTATGTTCCTCTCTCACTTCACCATACCTTACTGGTCACTGTAACTTGACTATCACATCTGCTATATAATATACAATATGAACTGACTCAGTAATCTTAAATATGTAATGGATTTAGACTTAACATGTAGGTTCTGGAGGCATTTAGTATCTCCTCACACCAGGGCAAGACATTTGTTTACTGACTGTGTTTACCTACAGGGGTTGGTAGCATTCTGAGTGGTGTCTACTTCATAGTCCTGGAGTTTACCTGGAGAGAGTTCCGGGGGTCAACGCCCCCACGGCCCGGTCTGTGACCAGGCCTCCTGGTGGATCAGAGCCTGATCAACCAGGCTGTTACTGCTGGCTGCATGCAAACCAACGTACGAGCCACAGCCCGGCTGGTCAAGAACCAACTTTAGGTGCTTGTCCAGTGCCAGCTTGAAGACTGCCAGGGGTCTGTTGGTAATCCCCCTTATGTATGCTGGGAGGCAGTTGAACAGTCTCGGGCCCCTGACACTTATTGTATGGTCTCTTAACGTGCTAGTGACACCCCTGCTTTTCATTGGGGGGATGTTGCATCGTCTGCCAAGTCTTTTGCTTTCGTAGTGAGTGATTTTCGTGTGCAAGTTCGGAACTAGTCCCTCTAGGATTTTCCAGGTGTATATAATCATGTATCCCTCCCGCCTGCGTTCCAGGGAATACAGATTTAGGAACCTCAAGCGCTCCCAGTAATTGAGGTGTTTTATCTCGTTATGCGCGCCGTGAAGGTTCTCTGTACATTTTCTAGGTCAGCAATTTCACCTGCCTTGAAAGGTGCTGTTAGTGTGCAGCAATATTCCAGCCTAGATAGAACAAGTGACCTGAAGAGTGTCATCATGGGCTTGGCCTCCCTAGTTTTGAAGGTTCTCATTATCCATCCTGTCATTTTTCTAGCAGATGCAATTGATACAATGTTATGGTCCTTGAAGGTGAGATCCTCCGACATGATCACTCCCAGGTCTTTGACGTTGGTGTTTCGCTATATTTTGTGGCGAGAATTTGTTTTGTACTCTGATGAAGATTTAATTTCCTTGTGTTTACCATACTTTAGGCTGAAACAGCCATTAACACACTCTCACTGCAACATTAAGAATCTTCCTGCATATTTTCTAACACCATTAATTTGTCTTTACTCCAATAGCTACAAATATAATAATTAGGTGATCACTAAAATTACATCATACCTGATGGCTGACTTGTTGTATCTTTTTCAGATGAATCTTTTTCACTGGAACTATTACCGCTGACACCAGGACTCAACTGTGGTGGATTGTTGGGGTCAAAACGATATACTGACCCATCAGAGTTCATGTATGGCTGCCCACTCTTATAAAAATGAAAGAAAATATTAAAATTGTGTTTATAGGTGTTCTTTTTGGTTACACATTTTTGTCAATGAAAACTATGAAATAGGGTTATATAAAACTTACTACAGTATTCTCATTATTGAATGAGCTCTCAAATATGGCAATTTAATTGGAAATTTAATTACATCATCTCAAACATTAAATAAAAATATTAAACATATTTTATCTACACAATACTCTGTCAGAATAACTTGTTCAAAATTTGCAGTAATTAAAAATTATATAGAAAAAAATAATAAATAAACTGTTCTAAAAATCAAATAAAATATTTTATAGCATTCCCATACACTTTTCACTACATATTATGTACTGAGATGCTTTGTTTAAGGAAAAAAAGTCAATACAAATTAAAATTTATTTCCAAATGTTATATTCAATCACAATTAACCCTTAAACTGTCCACACACAGATATACATGCACGTGTGCAGAGCTCCGAACATATATCAATGTTTTATTTTTCATTCCTTCAAATTTGGCGCGATAGGCCTGATTCGCCTAGACATGAAAGAATGGGTCTGTGCACTATGAAAAAAATCAGGGACCACTTAGTACCTTGTGGGAGCACCAGTTCAATTGAGTGCCAGCTAGAGCAAACACCTGTGATTCACTGATGTCATGTTATATAAACACTCACATTTTAAGAGGAAAGTAAAAATAGGTTAGATAAATGCATGAGTGGGTGTGGGTGGGTGCGAGTTGAACCTGACTAGCTTGTGCTACTAGGTCAGATGTCGTGCTCCTTCTTTCAGTGGATGTGACCTGACTAGGTGGGTCATTGGTCTAGGCCAGGGGATGACAGTAGGCCTGCTGCAGTGTTACTTCTTTCTTATGTTCTTATTTATTCGGCTGGCTGGCTGACTTTGGCTGTCTCTGTCTGTATCTGTCTATATTTCTATCTATCTGTCTGTCTGTCTATATTTCTATCTATCTGTCTGTCTGTCTATATCTCTGTCTATATCACTGTCTATCTGTATCTCTGTCTCTCACATGTACTCATAAATACAGTTATTATATATAATGTAAATTACCTAGGATAACCCAAAAATTCCAGGCCAAGTGCTATACAGTGTTTGTAGATATATGTAAGACATAAATAAACATGATGCAAATAATAGCAGTGTCATTTACTCAGCAATCAGGGAGCGGCCCATAAACCACAAACCAACAGGTTTACTAGCCGCTCCCCGAGACAGAGACAAGCAGATGCAAAGACAGACACACACAGCCAGACAGAAAGACAGATAAGCAGAACTAGACAGACAAACAAGCAGAGCTAGACAGATAGACAGATAGATGTACAGATAGACAGACTGACAGACAGACATACAAAGACATGTTTGTGTACAAGAGTAAAAACATATAAAGGCAAGGTTCCTCCCTCCAGCAGCGCACATTCATCAAATGTCACTTGTTATCTGATGCTTGTCATAACACCATTCTTCAAGGAGTTTCATACTCCAGCGTGTTTAAAACATTGCTGGGACCTATAAATATTTTGTATATATTTTTAGACAATAGTAAATGACAAGGGCAGGTGAAAATCTTCACCTGTCAGTGTGATTGTTACAATTTGAGTCCTATTTCAGTACATAATATTAGTGCCAGAACAAAGATTGGCTATGAAATCACAAGAGCTATTATAAATTGTAATTATCAGAACATAAATATTATATAAATTAAAATAAAAATGAGATAAAAAGGTAAATCGGCAACACTTTTGCACACTATACCACTCACTTATTTATCCATACCTCACCTATGCTATTTGTGCTTGGGGATCAACTGCAGCAACACACCTAAAGCCAATAATAACCCAACAAAAAGCTGCAGTAAGAATAATCACTAAATCCCATCCCTGGCAACACACCCCCCCACTCTTCATAGATCTAAACTTACTCCCTGTTCAGTACATCCACACTTACTACTGTGCAATCTACATCTACAGGACCTTAAACTCCAATATCAACCCTGACCTAAAACACTTTCTTGATAGTTGTGACAGAACCCACAAGCATAACACCAGACACAAACATCTCTACGACATTCCCCATGTCCGACTAAACCTTTACAAAAATTCAATGTATGTCAAAGGCCCTAAAATCTGGAACACCCTACCTGAGAACTCTAGAACTGCAGACACATTCATCACCTTCAAAACTACCATTAGAAAACATCTTATCTCCCTGATAAACCCCATCAACTAACTACACGAATACCACCTGGTGGTTCACACTTACACTCACTCACCCATTTGACCATAAACAGAAATATTAATCTCAATCTTAAAATAATGAATCCTATGATACTCCAATACTGAAACTATGTACTGTGCCAAAACAAAAGCATTCACATTGCTAAACTCACAAACTAGTATTTAGTCACTTAGCCATAATACCAACTTGCCTCATAATTTGTAATATTTTAAAATAAAGAATTAAACTAAGTCTGCCCGAAATGCCTAGCCATGCTAGGCGTTCTAGTGGTACACTCTGTAATCATTATTTAACTATGTATATGTAAACCACACAACAACCAAATTCTGTAAATTCAACATTGTAATCTTTATAGAGAATAAACTTTGAATTGAATTGAATTGAAAAGAGGCAGGACTGGATGTTGCCATCAGGTGAGCATCCAGAGCCAACTTTGTGGTCTTATATCTCAGCAAGTACTGGTCCTAAAAATTTTTTTTTGGTCTTATACCACACAGAAAATTGCTCTCTTTAATTTAAAAACAAAAAAATTATTTTTTTTATTCAAAATATTCGGAGTGCCAGGCAGGTGAACGTAGATCTACGTTTGGACAGTTTAAGGGTTAATAATAATATTACAGTATAGATTTATAGACATGTAATTCATATTATAATTTATAATAATCCATTATTAATTTATCTAATTTATATTATAATTTATAATATTGTACTCCAGTATTAATTTATACGATGAAACAAGGGTAAGTTTCACAAATACACACTGCCCTTGTATAATGCAATGGAAACAGTTATGTTTTAGGTCTATGGGAAGAAAACATTTTATGGCAAAGCTAAAAAAAAAAAAGAAAAAAAAAAAGATTCCAACTTAATGTAACCTACCTTATATTTTGAGTTGAATACTAGGTTAATCTAGACTGGGTTAGATTGTTATTTTGGTTCAAAAAAAAAAAAAAATTTTTTTACCATAGGCCTAAAATATAACTGTTACCACTGCACAACCCAATTAATATTGTATAATTTACTTAATAAAAAAAACAAGCAGCTAGGGTAAATATTAAATATAAAAAAACCCAAAACACTCTTAACAATTTGCATACCAATAACTGATATCTACTGCAAAATTCACTCATTATTATATGCTGCAAACTATAAATTATCACCTAGCCTACTGAGCAACTAGAGTAAATATGCATTGGCCTAAAATACTATCTAGGCATTCTACAGTAGTGCAGGTTAATTTCTCAATAATAATAATAATAATAATAATAATAATAATAATAATAATAATAATAATAATAACAACAATAAACACATACTGCAAAGCATTACCTGTGGATTAATTAACATGGCCCCTGGAGGCACAGCTTCCATGTCTGTGACGGCCCACATCACTGCCTGGCTATCCCCTTCACCACCCCACATACCAACCTGATAAAAATATATGTAAAAAAATTTGTTTCCCACTTTCTACAACTAAAGTCATTCACCTGCAGCTTTCAGGTTGTACCACCAGTTTAAGACAAAGACATCATAGTGCTTCCACATGTTAGTTAGCACACAACAGGCATGAAGGGCCTTCTCACACTTCCATAACCTACTTGACAGTATGACTACAGGAATTTCATAGCCCTCGTTGAAGAAAAAATGTCATGGTCCCATGACTGGAGCAATTCACCCAAAAATTCACACTTAGGAAAGGAACATTAGGATGACATTTTGATAAATCATTTACCATTATCTGTTTCAGTCCATTCAGGATGGACCAAACTGTTATCCTAACATTCCTCTTTTGAGTGTAGGTTTTTGGTGAATAGCCTTTGTTGATAACATTCCTTTCAAGACATCTTATACAAAGACAGTTAGGTGAACAACATGTAATATCAATCTCAAAGATGCTTCTATCATGACCTCTGTTGCAACCTGTCCCCTGCCCTATAGGCAGTTAAAATTAATACTATAATGTAAATGTTACAGTGAAAAGATAATTGTAAATAAGGCACAAAGATATATTAAAAACAAAAACATTTTCTGAATACTATTCCTGTTTTTCTTAAACATTACCTGACTGTTGGATGACTGTTGGTTTTGACTAGTAGTTGGGGATGGAGTGGTGGAGAGTGTGTTTGAGACATTTGTAGAACTGGTGTCTTGCCGTTGTGATTTATATCCTGAACTCATACTCAGATCACTTATCCTACTACTGGTCGAGTCTGTTGGAAGAAAACACAATGAAAACTATTGGAAGAAATATTTAACATAGGGTGCTCCCTCAAAATCCATGGGGTTATGCTCCTAGAGGCCCTAGAAAATTTAGAAACCACAATTTTCACTAAATTCTGTCAGCGTAACTGATTTTTTTCTTATTTGGGCTCATTCAGTATAGGTAATAGATATAAAAAATAGTTTGCTTATTCCACTAGGTACAAATAATACTGTTTAATACAGTACTGTTCATTAAGAAATTGAGGAGTAAACTTCTCAACTTTCATTGCTAATGATAAATGCGAAGAATGATGATGATCATCATCATCCATAGTAAGTCAGCAGGAAGATTCCTCTGTAGTTGGTGATGCAGTGGAGACTGAAGTACTAGCAACAGTGCCTGATTTTATACCATGTCTGCCAACACTAGCTGCACTCTCTCTCCTAGCAAGCATGTCTAATAACTTTACTTTCATTTTTAATTTTATCACACTTGTCCTCTTAAGAGCTTATATCCCTTCATCACTCTTGTTATGCTTGGTAGTTACAATGAACATTAGAATACTACCAAAATGCAAATAAAAATGAATAAAAGGATAATCATACATGTGGGTGTGAGAAGACTCAATGTCTTTGCAACTGAGGAGAACCCAAACACTGTAGGCTCAACAAAGCAACAAACATTTGAGGGTCGAGATATGCAGACATAACCACATAAATAATAACATACCTCAAAATGTCCCTTATCATGGCTACACCATTTACATTTTTAAAAATATTAACTAAAATGAACCTTTAAATGTACATCAAATAAAATAATTGAATTATTCATTTTTTCAAAGTAAAACCCTCACAAATTTTTAAAGTTATTTGTGGGAGGTTTCTTCAGTTAAAAAGCAAAAACTGTGAACTCTTGAATTTAGCAAATCTAAATCATGTATATTTACAGAGAGCACCACACTATATAAATAAATTGGAAGATTAAGAAAACACAAATTAAAATATATATATATATATATTTAAAGTACTGTGCTGTACTCTTCTGAAATAATTGCACCTATTTCTAACTAACACACTAGTAATGTATGCAGCAATTGTTTCTACGTACAATTAACATAAGCAGCTCGTGCCCAGCACACTGTTTTTCGCCTTTCTGTTTCAATCTCTCTCACGACAGATCTGACATTGTGTTTAATTTGACCCTAATTCTTCTTTCATTTTAATGTATACAAATATGTAGAGTATGTACAGTATACCTTTTGGAGTACTTTGCCATAGCTCACACAACCCATGCACATTGTCCTTTAAATAAAGAACTTTAAAAAATCACTGATAACCACTTTTTTGGCAAAAAAAAAAAAAAAAAAAAATCTAGATAAAATGGATATACTGGGCTCTGGTAATGCTTTTAATTCTGCACAAAATGACATATAATATTAATGCTAAAAGCGTACCTGAATCATCTGTCTGGTGTTCCTGATTCCACTGACATTGGTTTGATCTGAAGTCAAATCTGCAGAAATCTGTGGATCCGTGAAACATTTTCATCCCTGTATAATAAATAACTGTTTTCCAAGATTCATATCTCCCTTGAATTTCTTTATTTCTTCATCACTCCTGTCCTTATTAGCAGAATATATTATCAAAATGTCTCTCTCTCAACCTATTATTCTCAATGGTCAATATTTTACTGTATTACATATATGAGTACAGTAAATAGTATTTCACAAACATATTTACACCAAAACAGCCACAGCAATACCTTATTTCAATGTGCAAACTACCTCTCTTTAACCTGTACTACCTTTATACATGCAAATACTGTACTGTACTCCATCAACATTCGCAGGGAATGTGTACCACAAGGTCATGGATAGTCAACTCATACATATAGAACTTAAATATCAATGGGAAAAGGAAGACATGCTCAGGACCCCTGTGACCCCCTTCACTCTCAGTATTACAGTAATCCAATAATTCATGCTATTCTTTAAAGGGCTACAATGTAACTAGTTGTATGAGCCCATGGCTCATGACACAGCAGCACTGAGCCACACCATACATAATGACTGTCCTCCATTACCACCAGCACAGTGCTTTCAAATATATAAATAAAATTCATGCACACAAGCACACATATACATACATACTTACATACGTACATGCGTGCGTGCATGCATGCATGCATGCATGCCAGGAGCTTTGACTTGACCCCTGCAACCACATATAGGTGAGAACACACACACACGCACACAATTTTTTTATTAGAGCATTGGCCGTTTCCCACCAAGGCAGGGTGATCCAGAAAAGAAGAAACACTATTATCATCATCATTCACTCCATTACTGTCTTGCCAGAGGCATGCCTACACTACAGTTATTAAACTGCAACTTGAAAACATAACCAAATTTTTTCCCATATTCCATTACATTGCAAGTGTGCAATTTTACAATATTGTGCTGTGCATGAAAATTTTCAGGAATACAACTCCCACTCCTTGTGAGAATCTACTGTATACTCTACAAGTGAGGTCCCCAGGGTCCCACAGCAGAAAAACACTTGTTATTAGTAGTCAGATCTTAACATCATGATATAAGCTGACATACTGACTGGTTAGTGGCTATTCAGCTCACATGTTGAGTGGGCCACACACTGCCTGATTTCAAAACATAGCATATTTGAGCTTGAATGCTTTTGGATGGCCATACAATTAAATACAGTAAACCCTTGATATAATGAACTTTTAAAATTATAGGCAAAATATTCCTTTATTTTCAATGTTTAGTGTAGTGTATTTGTAACTTGTGTGTACAGCACTACACATGTATAAGGTACACAGTAGAGTACTTTAGTGCACTTTTTTACTGTTTTTGAAGATCATCCTGATATAATGGGCACCACCTATTAGTCTATTATATTGAGGGTTTACCACATTTAATTCTGCTATAGACTAATTAAAAAGTGGGCAAAACATCTATTAAATGAGTGATGGTAAATGCATTTTCTTATCCAAGTCCCCTACCTTGGTGGAAAATAACCAATGTAGCTAAAAATAACAATAACAGAAATCATGTGGCAATAAGAATGTGCATAGGAAGACCGTGCTAAATGATGGTCTACTGTTCAGTCACGAAAATAAACATTACTTAATTTGCATTAAAATAACATAGCAACTTTACCTAATCTTCCAAAAATTTGCATTACCTAACACAGTGTTTCCTTTTTTGGAACACCTAACTTTAGAAGTAGATAATTGGTGTACTAAATATACAATACAATTATCACTTGATAAACCTACCTGGTACCATCCCCCTACTTTTTTTTTGCATCCAATGATAAATTCTCTTCCTTTCTACAAAAAGCTTCAACATTATACCTACCCTTATTCCCATGTCTATTCTATGATTCGCCTTATCTTTCATGCATTTATCTACTGACACATCCAATCTCAAATATCTAAATATATTTACTTCATGCACTCTTCTTCCTATCTGATACCCAATCTTTCACTGCCTGGACTTTGATTCTTAATGCTATTTAAATCTAATCTGGTCCTTTTTATGTGTAACATAGGCAGAGGAAGTGCAGAAGAAAGACAAGACAATTGGAGAGTGAGTGGGCAGGTAGAATGGGGAGAATTATTAGGGAAATAAGCAATGTGTAATTTGATGTATCATAGGTGGGTCAATTTGTAGAGATAGACAAATATCTTGTTTGCATCTCATATGGCTATCACTCAGTTATGTCACCGTGAAGAGTGGTTTATAATGTGTAGCAAGGAATATTAAATAAATCTGGAGCAAAGGAAAAAAAACAACTATGGTAAAAAAGTATAAGAGAGCATATAAGCAAGAGGATAAAAGAGAGGGATACAAAAATATCTTAAAGGAATAACTGAAAGGATAGTGTCAATATGAAGTAATGCATGGAACTGTGCAATGATATAAAATAATGGAAGAGTGGTGGGTAGTGGGAAACAAACTACTGTCTAAACATAAGTAAATTATGTAAAATGACAACAATATTCTTACCTTGTTTACTTAATCTAGATGAAGAGAGATTACTGGACACAGATTCTCCTCGAGACAATACTGTTATTCCACCACCGTAGCCCCCAAAACTATGTGATTTAAACACAGGAGGTCGTAATGATCTTGGATGAAGGGTATCTCTGCTTTCAAATGATTCTACTTTTGGTAATCTTCCAGGTCTGATTGATAAATAAAAGCAAAAAAGTTATTTAACTTCCAATACAAAAATTTACACAAAAATTAGATTCAGTTGGATAAAACTATCAGACAAAATCTATATCCCCTAAGAATTCCACAACTTGGGGAGACTTTTTTTTTTCACAATGTAGAAAGTATGTGCATTTTTAAAAAGTTAAAAAAAAAGTTGAAGACACCAAATTACAAATTTATATTCCATCTATTACAACCAAAAGACAAACCATGCAAATGTCATTTATTATAAATGTTAATTATTACCTAGTATAAAAAAACATATTTGAACTAGAGGTATTCTAAGCATTCACAGAAACAGTACATCTAACAATTCAAAATTAAGAGACATTAAAACTAAGAGTTTAATAAATAAAACAGGAGGTACTAGTAACAACAAATTCCAAAGGCTGGAGAAACATTTATGTAACCCTCTGGAGGATACGTATGCATCCATGTGCATGATCTCTCAAGTTTCAACTATGGCAGTATCATAGTTTCACAAAATATAAAATATAAGCTATAAACTGATTCCTAGTTCAAAAGTTGCTGGCTTGTCACTGAATGTAGGAAAAGTCTGAATGATCAAAGGAAACAAGAGAATATTAAGTGGAGAATATAGCAGATGTTTACAAGAAGACAGTCTGATGCCCATTATAGCACATGATGTAAAATTCTGCCTTCTCTGCAAATAGACAGAAAAAATTGACAGTTCAGGGAGATTGAATAATTTACATAGTATAATCTGAATGAAAAGAATGGATAGCATTATAAAAGTGAAAATGATATGTGATTTGATTTTATTAGATTAATTTTCGGGCAATGCAATGGTTATGCCACTGGTGTTGCAATGATATGTGGGATAAGGCAATCACTAGAGAGGAAAATGCAGAAGTTTGTTGAAATGTTATTTCAATGAAGAAATATTGAAGAGTATTTTTGTTACAAAGTGAAGGAAAGAGCATGAATGAATAACAGATATGGTGAATGAACAGTGGAAAGGAAGAGACATTAGAGATGTACTAGGACAATAATTATGCATTATGTTGGACGGCAGCATTTAGTGGTAGAGGATACGAGAGTGAACAGAGAGAATAATGATGAGCTAGTTTATTATTATTATTATCACACTGGCCGATTCCCACCAAGGCAGGGTGGCCCGAAAAAGAAAAACTTTCACCATCATTCACTCCATCACTGTCTTGCCAGAAGGGTGCTTTACACTACAGTTTTTAAACTGCAACATTAACACCCCTTCTTCAGAGTGCAGGCACTGTACTTCCCATCTTCAGGACTCAAGTCCGGCCTGCCGGTTTCCCTGAACCCCTTCATAAATGTTACTTTGCTCACAGTCCAACAGCACGTCAAGTATTAAAAACCATTTGTCTCCATTCACTCCTATCAAACACGCTCACGCATGCCTGCTGGAAGTCCAAGCCCCTCGCACACAAAACTTCCTTTACCTCCTCCCTCCAACCTTTCCTAGGCCGACCCCTACCCCGCCTTCCTTCCACTACAGACTGATACACTCTTGAAGTCATTCTGTTTCGCTCCATTCTCTCTACATGTCCGAACCACCTCAACAACCCTTCCTCAGCCCTCTGGACAACAGTTTTGGTAATCCCGCACCTCCTCCTAACTTCCAAACTACGAATTCTCTGCATTATATTCACACCACACATTGCCCTCAGACATGACATCTCCACTGCCTCCAGCCTTCTCCTCGCTGCAACATTCATCACCCATGCTTCACACCCATATAAGAGCGTTGGTAAAACTATACTCTCATACATTCCCCTCTTTGCCTCCAAGGACAAAGTTATTTGTCTCCACAGACTCCTAAGTGCACCACTCGCTCTTTTCCCCTCATCAATTCTATGATTCACCTCATCTTTCATAGACCCATCCGCTGACACGTCCACTCCCAAATATCTGAATACGTTCACCTCCTCCATACTCTCTCCCTCCAATCTGATATCCAATCTTTCATCACCTAATCTTTTTGTTATCCTCATAACCTTACTCTTTCCTGTATTCACCTTTAATTTTCTTCTTTTGCACACCCTACCAAATTCATCCACCAATCTCTGCAACTTCTCTTCAGAATCTCCCAAGAGCACAGTGTCATCAGCAAAGAGCAGCTGTGACAACTCCCACTTTGTGTGTGATTCTTTATCTTTTAACTCCACGCCTCTTGCCAAGACCCTCGCATTTACTTCTCTTACAACCCCATCTATACATATATTAAACAACCACGGTGACATCACACATCCTTGTCTAAGGCCTACTTTTACTGGGAAAAAATTTCCCTCTTTCCTACATACTCTAACTTGAGCCTCACTATCCTCGTAAAAACTCTTCACTACTTTCAGTAACCTACCTCCTACACCATACACCTGCAACATCTGCCACATTGCCCCCCTATCCACCCTGTCATACGCCTTTTCCAAATCTATAAATGCCACAAAGACCTCTTTAGCCTTATCTAAATACTGTTCACTTATATGTTTCACTGTAAACACCTGGTCCACACACCCCCTACCTTTCCTAAAGCCTCCTTGTTCATCTGCTATCCTATTCTCCGTCTTACTCTTAATTCTTTCAATAATAACTCTACCATACACTTTACCAGGTATACTCAACAGACTTATCCCCATATAATTTTTGCACTCTCTTTTATCCCCTTTGCCTTTATACAAAGGAACTATGCATGCTCTCTGCCAATCCCTAGGTACCTTACCCTCTTCCATACATTTATTAAATAATTGCACCAACCACTCCAAAACTATATCCCCACCTGCTTTTAACATTTCTATCTTTATCCCATCAATCCCGGCTGCCTTACCCCCTTTCATTTTACCTACTGCCTCACGAACTTCCCCCACACTCACAACTGGCTCTTCCTCACTCCTATAAGATGTTATTCCTCCTTGCCCTATACACGAAATCACAGCTTCCCTATCTTCATCAACATTTAACAATTCCTCAAAATATTCCCTCCATCTTCCCAATACCTCTAACTCTCCATTTAATAACTCTCCTCTACTATTTTTAACTGACAAATCCATTTGTTCTCTAGGCTTTCTTAACTTGTTAATCTCACTCCAAAACTTTTTCTTATTTTCAACAAAATTTGTTGATAACATCTCACCCACTCTCTCATTTGCTCTCTTTTTACATTGCTTCACCACTCTCTTAACCTCTCTCTTTTTCTCCATATACTCTTCCCTCCTTGCATCACTTCTACTTTGTAAAAACTTCTCATATGCTAACTTTTTCTCCCTTACTACTATCTTTACATCATCATTCCACCAATCGCTCCTCTTCCCTCCTGCACCCGCTTTCCTGTAACCACAAACTTCTGCTGAACACTCTAACACTACATTTTTAAACCTACCCCATACCTCTTCGACCCCATTGCCTATGCTCTCATTAGCCCATCTATCCTCCAATAGCTGTTTATATCTTACCCTAACTGCCTCCTCTTTTAGTTTAAAACCTTCACCTCTCTCTTCCCTGATGCTTCTATTCTCCTTGTATCCCATCTACCTTTTACTCTCAGTGTAGCTACAACTAGAAAGTGATCTGATATATCTGTGGCCCCTCTATAAACATGTACATCCTGAAGTCTACTCAACAGTCTTTTATCTACCAATACATAATCCAACAAACTACTGTCATTTCGCCCTACATCATATCTTGTATACTTATTTATCCTCTTTTTCTTAAAATATGTATTACCTATAACTAAACCCCTTTCTATACAAAGTTCAATCAAAGGGCTCCCATTATCATTTACACCTGGCACCCCAAACTTACCTACCACACCCTCTCTAAAAGTTTCTCCTACTTTAGCATTCAGGTCCCCTACCACAATTACTCTCTCACTTGGTTCAAAGGCTCCTATACATTCACTTAACATCTCCCAAAATCTCTCTCTCTCCTCTGCATTCCTCTCTTCTCCAGGTGCATACACGCTTATTATGACCCACTTCTCGCATCCAACCTTTACTTTAATCAACATAATTCTTGAATTTACACATTCATATTCTCTTTTCTCCTTCCCTTCCTTTGCTCTAACTCTCTCAGATACTCCAGATTTAATCCCATTTATTTCCCCCCACTGAAACTCTCCTACCCCCTTCAGCTTTGTTTCGCTTAGGGCCAGGACATCCAACTTCTTTTCATTCATAACATCAGCAATCATCAGTTTCTTGTCATCCGCACTACATCCACGCACATTTAAGCATCCCAGTTTTATAAAGTTTTTCTTCTAGTTTAAAAGAATAAATTTAATGACTCACAATAGGTCATTTAAGAATAAACACATAGGTGAAACGAGTTTTTGTTACACAGAATCCACCAACACTGTAGTTGTGATGCGAGTCTACCAACCATGGTTAGAAACTCTCTGCAAGGAAAGGGGTCCTGGTACTGGCAAAGGGCTCTTGAGTAAGGAACTGGTAACACCCTTACCTTAGGTGGATAAAACGAGATTACCTATCATTCCTCAAGTGCTGTGTTCAATAGACATCTTGCCATAAGTGCATGAACATAGAAATTTAAGTGACCCTATGGACTGCAACAACCCTTCCCATCAGGGTGTAGGCACTGTATTTCCCACCTCCAGAATTCAAGGCTGGCTAAAGTGATTTTCCAAAACCCTCTTATAAATGTTTTTAAACCACATAAGCCATTTCCAATCAAGGTAAGGTGACTCAAAGAAGGAAACTCACTCAACACCACACATTCAATAGTTGTCTTGTCAGAAGTCCATGGACATCACAATTCATATAACCCTCTTAATCTCAAACACCATCTTTCACAGTGCATGTACTGTCCTTCACACCTCCAGATCTCAAAGTCTAGCTCACTGGTTTCCTTGACTCCCTTCATAAACGTTACATTGCTCACACTCCAACAGCACATCAAATCCCAAAAACCACTTATCTCTACCCACTCTGATCTAACATGCTCACATATACATGATGAATGCTTAAGTCCCTACCACTCAAAACTTTCTTCATTCCTTCCCTATAACCCTTCATGAAATGTCCCTTACATTTTCACCTGTCCACAATGACCACACCTTCTTGGTCATCCCATCCTACTCCATCTTTCTAAATGACTAAAAACCAACAGCAACCTCTCCTTTGCTCTCTGAATTATACCTTTTTACCATTATAGTGCCTTCTAATTTCTTTGCTCATTCTATGCATAACATTCACAAGTTATTACTAAACATGACATCTCTTCAACAAGGTATAAAAAATTTGAGAAAACAGAGGCAAAGGCTAGCTTCACTTGACTGGAAGTAGGAGAGAAAGGAATGTGAGCAGTGTGATTATACACAGGATTTTTAGAGCATTCACTTCATATTCCTGAGCACAAAAGTACATTAAGAGAAGAGTCTGTACTGTGTCTAGATTATCAGCAAGTACACTTGCAATATTTAGCTCTTCAAATTTACAAGTGCATATTACCTTACTGGGGTGTAAGTAACATTATTTTATTTTAATGGGTTATCCTAGATTAACCCTCTGAAGGTCAAGAGGTCCTCTCCCAAACTCATTCTCAGGGTCAAAAAAATTTCAAAAAAAAATTATTTTTTTCTTATGAAATGACAGAGAATCTTTTTCCGATCATAATGACACCAAAAGTATGAAATTTGATGGAAAACTTATGGACTTATGCTCTCGCAAAGTTAGCGGTCTCAAGGTGGGCAATTTCGCCCACTTTGAGCCCTATTTTCAGCCAATTCCAATGTTGCAGTTGACTAAAATCATAGCTACTTCCCTAGAACTCCATTTGTTCTATCGATTGAGTACAAGAATCTGCCCATTTACTGATTTCAACTACCCAATATATTGGTCAGAAATTGACAATTTGATCAATTTCACACAAATTTCAAACGATGTCAATTTCGAAATAGGGTCCAGAATAAACAAAACAGACATTCATGGCACTAAAATAACATTTTATCTGTTCATTAGTCACATCTCTAGGCCCCTCTTATATTACTTTTGCTTTCCATTTTTAATTTTTATTCTCATAGAAAATAGGTTTTCTGTTATGTATACTACTACATCATTGTAAAAATGGTATAAATGATATCAGCGCACTTGTGAAAGAATATTAGACTCACCAGTTGACGTGTATTGGACGCGTGGCTTGATCTGTTTACTCCTGAACATCAGCAAAAATCGATTATTTCCACTAATTTGAGCTCAATTTCAAGGTACTTGTCATTGTGAAACCAATCAAAATCATCCTTAATTCTGTAATATAACTTCCATTCTATCAAATGAGACCAAGGAAACGAGAATACAACCAGAAATACCATACGAAAATACACTAGAAAGTCGCTGTTTTAAACCAAAAACACAGTCGAAGTTTTTTTTTTTTCTCATTATGCACAGCATGCTTCAGGATTTTTTTTATACTGCGCACACTGACCACACAAGCCCATTCTTTCATATGTAGGCCTGCCAGCTTTCTTCCACCAGATTTGAAGACGCTAGAATTTAGGCGAACAAGTACGTGACCGACCCTGGCTGCAATGACGTACTTGTACGTGACTGACCCTCAAAGGGTTAAATGTACATGATGTACTTTTTGTGTGCCTCAAAGCCACTGTAAATAAAAAAATCTTGCTGTGTACCCAAGACCTAAAAACTGACTTAATTTCAGTGCTTATTACTTATAGTGTATGCAGCTTACAATATGCAGAGGTTTTTCTTACGAAATTATGTTGCCTTCTTTTTTGGGGACTTGCAAAAAACGTATTTTCTCTCTCACTTAAAATTAGAATCACTGGACAGAAAATGCATCACATGGAAAATGAATAGATTGGGGGAAGACAATATCATGTCTCAATTACTCCATATTCTCCATGTAAAAGTATATGTTACTTAAATAATGAACAAAGCAGAGAATTAATTTTTTGAATGCTTTTCAAAAGATTCAGAGCAGCAGAGTACTTCATACAGATTCTCATGATATACAAAATAAGGCCCTGGTAATGCTTTAAATATTGCATATGTTACATACTTCAAACTGATTTGCTCATATGTTTAATAAAAAATGTTTCATACACTGTACTGTATTTAAAAGGTAACATTACGGTAGCTTACCTTAATCTATGATTGTCATAGTGATGTTTTCGATGAGACATCTCAGAGTCCATAAATGTCCAGCTTCTGGAATCATGCCATCGCGTGTCATCTTGTGAATTTCTCCGTGAATCATGACTTCTGACAGGTGAATCGCCCAAACCATCAGCAGATGACAATGACTGAAACAGATACGTCCTGCATTATTACTATATTCTCTTTGTCAAACCTTAACTTGGCCACAAGGACTGCTCATAGAGTTTTTATTTGAAATTACAATGAAGATTGCTATATTATCATAAAGAGTACAATTCTTCCTACAGTATTAACACAGATTTATACAATAATGGGTAATGTTACATAATACCAGAGGTATTATATAGTTGGTGTTTTAAATCTGGATGAAGTACATTATAACAAAAGCACGTCCTTCTCATCCTACTGTCCTGCCAAGTGAGTGTGAAGTGGAAACCTGTAATTGTTTTACATGATGGTAGGATTGTTGGTGTTTTTCGTCTCAAACATGTGGGATAACAGGTATATCTTGCTACTTCTACTGACACTTAGGCCACACTACACATGCATGAACATGCATATATATTTACACACCAATTTTGGTTTTCTTCTATTTTCTTAATAATTCTTATTTTTATTTCTTCTTATCTCCATGGGGAAGTGGAAAAAGAATTCTTGCTCCGTAAACCACGTGTGTGTCATAAAAGGTAACTAAAATGCCGGGAGTAAGGGGTTAGTAACCCCTTCTCCTGTATGCATTACTAAATTTAAAAATAAAACTCTTTTCTTTTTAGGTTATCCTGCCTCAGGGAATACATCCAGTGTATTAAAAAAAAAAAAAAAGTACCTCTCACTTACTTCTGATCAGACTTAAGAATTTTTCTAATGTCTCAGTACAGCCTGCTAGGCTTTCCTGGTAGCTGCTTGATCAGTCAGATTGCTGCTGCTTGTAGCCTGCATACTAACTCATGCATCACAATATGGCTGATTAGGGGCCTATTGAATGAACTGATCAAGGTCTCTCATTAAGACCTTCACTTTTGTTCTTTCAATATTTCTTGTATCTACTGGTAAAAGGTTAGTCACAGATCTTGAATTTTCATAAGTATTCTGTAATTATGTCTATGGTAGCCAAATTTTTCATTGGATTTATTCTACTACACCTTTCTCATATTCCTTGCTATAGTAAGTTTTATTTTAGTATATAAACTAACGCCCTCGTCTTTGAACAGTTTCCTCGTATAAATTATAAGGAACAATTTCAGTAATGCCCCCATTCCACAGAGTATACTCTCAATGCCTCGAGCAATTTTGAATACTTACACATTCTATGCGAGCATTAAAAAATCTTTATTTTCCACATCAGATATCTCTGCATTTAAAAGGGATGCAAGCCACTGAACAGAATCCAACAAATGCCTTGAAAAGCACAAACGTAGGCACAACATCACTTGTTTTGAAGGTTCATGTAATACACCTTTTCATTTTACTTACCAAGACAAAATTTGCTTCGCTGTACTTTTTAACTATTATTCTTATACTCCTTGATTTTGAGTGTTAGTGGCTTGAGCATCCAGCAGGGCTGTGTGAGGGGTGTTAGATCAAAATGATTGGAGACAAGTAGTTTTTATGGCTTGATTTGCTGTCGGACTGTGAGCAAGGTAACATTTATGAAAGGGGTTAGGAAAAACCAGTTAGCCAAACTAGAATCCTGGAAGTGGGAGGTTCAGTGCCTGCACTCTCGGGAAGGGGTGAGGATGCTGCAGTTCAGAGGCTCATTCGAATTGTGATGGCAAATGTGTTTAAAAAATTCCTTGTTCTGACTGTTCCCACCATTCTCCACCAGACTTGTCAAAGAGGGTCTCTGACTGAGGCCTATATATATGGCTCTCTCTTACCTGTACTTCATATTCTGTCCAAGTGAGTTTTCACTGGTTCTTGTGAGGTATGTCTATAAAACATGATACAGAATTGCTTTACTCAGAATACAGTATAATATTAATTGCATGATACTGTATTCTGAAAAAACTTTGGTTTTATAATGACTTTAATTTTGATTTGATCCCAGGGCACTGATCGCTCACTTTTCCCATTTTACCACGGAGGAAGATACTTAATATGCCTTTACCTATTTTTATTAAATTTGTGGAAGAGGGGTGCTTATAGCATCTGGGTAATGGGAAGTTATTATTTGATCCAAGGAAGAGGGGGCTAACTCCAATTCCTTGGGTCAAGAGCCCTTCATTGACATTGTCACCCCTTGAAGAGATATCTTCTCAAGAATAAAAAGGCACAATGCCACGAGTGGAAATATCCACAAATAACCCTATGAACAGCTGATTCGTGTATAATTCACTAAAACAGAAGATGGTATGAAGGATGATACTGACAGAGGACTTTGATATACGTACAGATTAAATTAAGCTATAATGATATATAACATGATGAGGTTAATTAGAACTAAGGTAGTGCAAGGGACATGAAATACTGAGAAAACTTACAATAGTTGCATTTAGGCTGGATTTTTACCTAACTCACCAGGTAAAGAATCCAATTCTGCAAATGAAATTTTTAATGATAAGCAAAGCAAGGATATAAAACAAAAAACACATTTTCTTATATACTATAACATTTTTAAGAAAATCAAATGTCCTATTAGTTAGTCTTTATACATAATTTTTGAGAATAGCAAAAAGTAAATGAACATAAACCATCCAGTTATCCGACAATTCTTACAATATTCCATTGTAAAACTACTATTTACAAAAAATGTCTAAAAAAACTCTAGATTTTAGAAAATATGCAGATGAACCATGACTATGTGAAGTATTTGGGGACCAACTTCATCATTTCATCTGGATTTTTTACATACAGCACCAGAAATGTATTGATCATGAAAAAAATGAAGTCCTAGAAATGATGTTGCAAAAGAACTACAGTACTGAGATATGTGGAATCAGAAATTAAAGTAAAACAGTATCAAAGATGACCCCATGTTTTTGGGCAAAGTTGAACTAAATTGCATACAATACAGTAGTTATCTCATGGTTTAGGCAAAAATATTTTTTTAATAAGGTATATTGCCTTTGATTGCCTATTCTGTCACTGGACAAGAACCTTGTCATAGATCATTACCCAACACAAATTCTTTCAAGCTAGACCATTAAAAATGCTTAGGTACAGACTGAACAAGGAAATTACTATACCATATATGAAGTTCAAAGAGTTGTATGTTTCAACCCACAAATCCCAAATTCATGCCCACAGAGACAAAAATGATGTACCAAATATACTTGAATTCTTTAAGGAATATTTGCTAAGAAATCTTTCTCTTTGACTCTGTGCTAATTGAGGGAAAAAATGCTTCAAATGTTTGGACACACAAAAATATTTAAGAGCTGTTCTATAAAAAATACAGTACACAGAGATAAGAACCGAGGTCTACCATAACTGATGAGCACCTAATTATTATTATAATAAAAAAGAAGCGCTAAACCTACAAGGGTCATAGAGCGCCTCCAGGCTGGGAAGGATGCAGGGTAATGGGAAGCAAGAGGGAGAGGGATGATTATTAGGTCATGGAGTGTAGCGGGGCAGTGGATAGTGCAGGGGTAGAGGGTAGCACGAGATTGAGGTAGAAAGGGCAGTGAGGAGTACTAGAGGCATCATCATCAGAGTTTGTGCAGTAAATCAGTTGCTGTCAAAAAGTCAGTGAGAGAGTCTGGGTTAAAAGAGGGTCCATCAGCAAGAAGGGAAGGTAAAGTAAGGGCAGTAGAGCAGTGACGACGTTGGAGGTAAATTCTGCATGCTCGTTGATAGAGTGGGCAGTCCAACAGAATGTGGCTAACAGAAACTGGAACCTCACAATTCTCAGAGTGGAACAGGGTGCCTCTCCATGAATTACCCGTGAGTAAGACAGTGTGGCCAATGCGAAGACAGGAGAGAGTAGTCTCCCAGCCTCGACACTGATGATAAGAAGACGGCCAGAAACCTATACTCGGTCTAATAGAATGTAGTTTATTATAGAGCAGATTAGACCAATGTTGTTGCCAACGGGTGCAAAGATGGGTAGCAATTACAGCAAAATAGTCTGTGAATGAAGCACCTCTATATGAAACTGAAAGGTCATGTATTGCTGACAGCGCAGCAGTGTCTGCCTGTTTCTTGCCCTATACCTCAACATGACCTGGTACCCAACAAAAAACAATATCTTTGTGCTTGCTAGAGATACGGTGTAACCAAAGTTGGATACAAAGAACCAGGGGATGAGGTGTATAAAATTTTCGTACAGCCTGTATAGCACTAAGGGAGTATGAAATGACCACAAATGGTGACACAGGCATAGATGCAATATGGATAAGTGCTATGAGAATGTCATACAATTCAGCTGTAAAACTGCTAGCCGGGGATAATAAATGCCCTCACACAGAGGACGGAAGCTCAAAGCAGTCAAAAGTTACATGAGATACATTGCAAGGGTATCGTCTCTGCTTGGGGGCAGGGAGGACATAAGTGTCTACTTTGAGGATTGGGAGGTCTTGGAGTTCAAGCTGTTCCAGAATGTCATTGCCCCATATATGGAAATTCTGTTGGACAATGGTATGGGGCAGAATGAGAGTGCCACTACAAGAATTGAGGGAATGATGTTTTTCAATAGTTTCAGGAATAGTATCGATAGTTGTAAGGAGAGAAAGATCGTGAGCTTGGTTAGCATTCTGGATAGTGATGATGTGTGTACCGCTCTTGAGACCATGAAAGGATATATCTCTACCAACATGGCGTAGGAGCGCCTTGCCAGTACTATGGTCAGAAAGATAGGCAGTAGAGGAAGTCGATCGTAGAGTAAAAAACTTAGTCCATTGTGTATTTTGAAACAGAGTGTAAAGGGAGTGCGTTATGTGCCGGTCTTTTCTGAGAAGAATGAGAAGGAAGCAAAGAAGTTTCATCAGGTAATGGTCTTGGGCATTTAGGTGTGGGACCAGAGTTGGTCCGACATGGGATGGGTGGGCAATTCGAAAATTGCCACACCGTAAAGGGAGAAGCTGGAAGCATAGTCAAAGAAAAGCAGAGGTCAGACGTATCAAAGGAGTCAGTTGGAACCCCAGTACCTGAAGCAGGTGATGAAATGGCACCAGCAAGAAGTGCAGGGGCACTAGAAATGTCCAAA